ACAAGGCATTTCTGAACCTTAAAATAAACATAGCTTTCCCTTCTCAAATATCACTAAGATGCCTATCCAATTGCTGGATAAAAAAGGTGGTTGTAAAATAACCAATGCCTTGCTAGATCAGAGAAGTCTATCTAGTTCAGCAATGTGTGAGCAGCACACTGTGTGCTCTCCCCACATAGTTCTCAGTGGTCTACTGCTTCTGAAAAATGGAAGCTCTATTCAGCAGTCAAGATTAGTGACTGAGAGCAACTACTTCCTATGAATTTGTTTAAGCCTTGTCAGAGCTACCCAAGTTGGTGGCTGTCCCAAAATTCTGTGGAATAGATTCTACTCATTAAGTGATGAATGAAGCAGCAATAGTTCCTTAATAACCTACCGCTAATTAAAATCACTGGCTGACAGTGAGTGTTGTACTAAGCAAGATTAAAGAGAAGTAGCTACATCACTCTGCTACAACAGAAGAAAATGCTAGAAAGACTGCTATTTCCAGTTACTGGTACTGCAAATGCTTACTGCACTTACCAGGTCTACATTTCAGCTTTGAACAGAATGTCACGCAATGTATAACTCTTGCATTCCATGGTCTTTTCAACCCATTGTTTACTGTCCTTGCCGCCTCACCCCCCAAAGCATGCCAAAATATATCTGCCAACTAAGGATAACCATGCATCTGACAAAGTGGGCACCAACTTACACATGAAAGCATTGGCACAATAAACCTATTAATCACTCTCTCACTGAATATATTACACAGGGCAATTTTAAATGCATTGAACAGCACTTCTGACCAGTTTGCACTGGATCTTGGAAGGCTGCAATTAAAGAACTACAGCCATATTTCCATTGCAGTAATTTAACACATATATTAAAACTCATAAAGCAAGATGAGCTGGCTTCCGTCCTTTTCAGCTGCTCTGATGCAAACCACATCGCATCAGGGCAGTGGAGGGTGGCTAGCAAAGCTGTTTGCTTTAAGCCTTTAACACCTCTGTTTCGTAAGTATGTGCATTTGTTTTGTGGGTCTGTGCTTGCATGAATGAGACAGGGAAAGCAGTTCAGTAGTGGAACATTCTCCCTCGGGAGATCCTGGAGTCTCTTTCCTTGGAGGCTTTTAAGCAGAGGTTGGATGGCCATCTTTCATGGATGCTTTAGCTGTGATTCCTGCATTGCAGGGGGCTGGACTAGATGGACTCTGGGGACTCCTTCCAACTCTACAATTCTCTGTTTCTATGGTGTGTGTGTGTGTGTGTCTGTATATAGCAAGCTTCAACATCTGTTTTGTAAGTATGCGTATATGCGGGGTTTGTGTGCGTGTATATAGGAGCATCCATCCACCCACCTACCTACCTACAGGTACGTATACACATACAGACGACTCTAAACGCCTCACTCATTAACTCTGCCCCCCTTACTCTCCCTCCATCTCTCTTCTGATCCGGAGTTTCGCATAGATGGGGAGACACACCGAGAGCCCCCTCCTCCCTCCCGCGAACCCCGCCCCTTTTCTCGACCAATAGAGCTTCGGCGAATCGAGAAAGGCAAGAGGCTCAGCCAATCGTATTGGGGAAAGGGCGGGGGCGTGCGCGCGGATACTGGTGCGCAATTAGAAGCGTCTGGAAAGAGGCGGGGCGAAGCGAGGAGTATATTCACGGCGGCGCGAGGAGGGGGGAGGGGGGCTATGTGTGAAACGAAGCGCGAGCGGCGCCCCGGCGTACCTGAAGAACAGCGTCCGGTACATCTGGTGTGCCTCGTAATAGTCCCCTTTCTCCACGCTGGCGCGGAGTTTGCCCTCGACGCGTTGGACGCCGCCCCGGTTCCGGCCGCTGACGGCGCTGCCGCCCTTCAAGGCCTCTTGCTCCGCCGCCATGACTGCGGGGCGGGGAGAAACGCCACACAAGACGGCCGGAGTTGCCTCACGCAGCGCGGCGCATGCGCGGCGGTGGCCGCCTTCCCGGCTTCCGTCGGCTCCGCCTAGTCAACAATGGGGAGGGTGGCGGCCGCCGAGGGACATGCGCACGCAAACGAGCCCCGCCCCCGGCGTCTCCGAGAGTGTGACGTCCGACGTGGCTCGGCGCGCGCCTCAGATGAGGAGGGAGGGGGTGTAGGGCGCAGGGGGCGTTTCCAGCGGCGTCTCCATGACGACGTTGCCTGCAAGGGGGTTGGACGAGATGATCCTCGTGGTTCCTTCCAGTTCTATGATTCAGTTCTCTTGCATGTCCCTCGAGTGGTTCTTCGGATTCCTGGAGGAGTTCGTAGGATCAAGGTGGATCCACTACCACCTTTGGTGGGACTGATCTGGGGTGCAGCGATTTTGGCGGAAGGCTTCTGGTGACATAAATAAGATCCTAAAAGAAAACATTTTACTTTTGCCCAAATTGGTTTTATTTTATTTTTTGAAGGAAAGAATATCAAGATACAAAAATTAAAAGATTTCTTACATTGCCTTTTTTTCTGCACGCCTACCGATTACCCAAAGGTGGAAGACATTTTTAATTTAACACCACGTTATGGTGAAATAATATTTGGAAAATTGCATTACACGAGAAATTTACCTGATCCTCGTTTTTGGAAAGGAACAACCTCTTTTGTCTGTTTGTTGGGATTTCATTGAATACATAAAGAAAATTTACACTTCTCTCTTCCACAGCCCTAGGATAGGTAACATCTAACTGGCTGAACATTTTTCTTGACATAGTAGCCTTTTTTCTTGGTACTCCTTGTGTCTCTGATGGTTTCTTGTTGTAGGTTTAGGCTTAGGTTTCCGTATACAGTACTCTTACCTCATTCTCTCGTTCGCTATGACGATAGTCTTCATTTCTCTGCATCTTATTGCAAATATAAAGATAACCGGCTGTATCATTTTTTCTTGTGAACATCCCATGCCAGCCTTGGTTTGGTTTCATTTTTATGCATTTGTCTTATGAAGTTTTATTTTCATACTTGGGCTATGTTTAAACATAATAAACAAAAATATATTCTGGACAATAGAGGTAGCCAGCACACCCCCCTACCCCTCCTCACACATAATATTTTGTCTGAAGCTCCCTTGTGCTCCAGCTATCTAACACACCACTCTACAAAATATTAATCCAGAACTTATTTTAAGTAGAAAAGAGCAGCAAGGTAACTCCTTCTTTTTCCCCATCTGCAGCTATGCTCTTCCAGTTTCTGACCCATTGGCTTTATTATTTAAAATGTTTTAGACACTGAAGAGGCATGTAGGAGAATCTTGTAAAAGCTAAAATGTGGATGGAGTGCATGTTGGATGTGTGGGAAACCTCACAGCATTCATTCTATATTGACACTGTCAAGAGCCAGTTTTTTGTTTATATATATATAAAAACAGATGGAGCTGCACGCAATTCATCCAGAACTGCTTCCGCCTTACAAGACATTGCTTCTTATTTGGGAAGTACCCAGGAAACATCTACCTTCATCAGTAATGACAGGCCATGGAAACTGAACCTGTTAAACTACCAACACAATTGAAACGAACAACATTGGTACTGGGTGTATCTCTGTAAACAGACATGGCTAAATTACTCTTAAAAAAATGTGGCAGAAGAAACCACACCTGTCCTATTTGTTATATTCTGAACATGTTTCAAGCATACTATTTGTTTCCAACAGAGTCAGGTTTTTATAAGGGCAAGAAATTGCAAATCTCTTTCAAACAGGCACAACTAAGCAATTTTTGTTCTCTCTCCTGCAGTTAGCAACCAAATTGCATATTTGCTCCCTCATTGGAAAGCAACGATGTCAAGTTGATAGATATGCTTCATTAGTACACAACAGCTTTAAACTGTGACAAAAAACTTCCATACTAAAGTATTCTGAAAATGTTCCCCTGAATACATTTTTTATTTACAGATGTTCAGGACCTGACTTGAACAGATTAATTAAAACAGATGTTTCATTTTGCATTAATGCTACTCCTCATTTCCAGAAAGAGGAGACAAGAGGACAAAGCTAGAAGAGCTGCAGGAGATCCATGACTGGATCTCCTGATGTTTCCTTCTCTCCAGTTCTTATTATGCAGCTGGGCAGTGTCTCAGGTTGTAGATCAATCACCAGTTCTCTTTTAATCTTTCCACTGCATTATTTCCTCAGTCTAGATAGCTCCTCCCCCAAAGCTGCTCGGCTAGGGAAAGCATACAGATGCCCAATCACTGATCTCGCCTCGTGTGACTCCAATGAATCCTCACAAAGCATGTAATATGATACTGGGTACAGACTTAAGCACTGTGCAAAAACACTGCAGGGTTGTCATGAGAATAAAATGGAGGGGGGGGGGAATAGCTGTGCTTGAGCTCCTTGGAGCAAAACCAGGATATATTGCAGGTATTTAGTAGCAAACCAGCAGTAATTTAAGAAGTAAAAGCATTTCTTGAACTTTTATATAAAATTTAATTCTTGCATGGTTGTGTGTTTCCTTCACACAAGACACACACAGCAAATTCTACATGCCCTTGGATCTATAAAACGTGAACAAAAGTACCTCCATAATATACTTTCTGCATAATTTGGGGGAGGAAGGCAGAGCATTTGGTGCAGAGATAGGCAAAGAGAACCAGAAGAAGAAAATGCCATACTGAATTGGACCCAAGTTCTGAGTCTGGTAGCTGTTGTCAACCAGATTGCTCTGGAAAGGTCAGAGGTGGGGAATGAGTGACTGCTGTCCTATTTGTATCTGAAGGTATGGTCATCAGAGGGACAGGCCTTTGCAGATGGGGGTTACCTTTAGCTATCAATAACCATTGAAAGATCCATCCTCTCCAAGTTTGCTGAATCCTTTCCAAGACTATTTATGTAGTAGCTTAAGTGGTGTGGCACATTGCTTTTCTATTATATACATAACTGTGCTGTGTGCTGGGCAGCAATCATAAACCAGATTGTCCTGAAACAAGTCACTTTGCACTTAAATAAGATGACTGCCAGCTGCCTTTCAGCGGCTTTAAAGATTGCCAAGTTATTACAAGCATTCAGCATAAATACCAAAAGGGGAAAAAAAGAAAACTTTTATTACTTAGTTCCAAATATTACATGCACTTTCCAAAAGTTAAACTCTTAAAACATTTTCAATAGCTTCTTGTCAGTTTGGAGGCAGCAAAGGATACCAGAGACAAATATTTTGAAAAAAGCATTTACAAAAATACATTGCACAAAGTCCTATCTCACGTCTTTAAAAAATAAGTTAGTGTTATGCAAAATATTCCCCACCCCGTCAACTTCCCCCATTTGGATTTATACAGGATAATTCTGATTTATATATTTAACCTACAGTTTATGTAACAGCTGTACAGGTTTTAACAAGCTCTTCTCAATAGGCCATTGGTTCTATTTCTAGCTGAACTTAGGCGAGCAAATGGTCTTCTGGAAATAAAACTCTCTATAAATATTTGAGGACTCTTTGTGCAACATACATTAACTCTCCATTTTGTCGTTCCCAAAAGAACAATTATTATAAACTCTCCAAAAAAGCAAAACGTAAGGTAAGATTTTCACACACCACCACTTTCAGGAATCTTTTTTCTAAGGAAGTTTTCTAATAATAATTCCAATTTAAAAGATGTCAAGTTGTCGGGGCATGCAACAAGTTCCATGTGTAACAAGAGCTCTAGGAAAACTTCATTTTCTGTCTTGAAGTTCATAACCATGTTATTGTGTGGGTGTTTTTTTAAACAGTTGTTTTGGGAGAAGTGTTGTCAAAACTTTTCCCTGAGGTTTCAACAACATTCAATCTTGTGAAGTTTCCTCTGGCTTTCCAGAGATTAGCAGCAACCCCAGAATACCCAGTGAGGCTTGGGATATTTAACTGCACAAAAGAGAATGTGTGAATAAGCCCCAGGGATGAAACATGGTTGCAGGTTGCCTCATCTGAGGTTTAGCATTTCTGGCATCATCCTTTTAATTCTTCCACTTCCTTATTATTTCCCATCTTTCAGGCCATTTCTTATTGATGAGACCTCTTCCTCCTTTATTCAGCATATACTTCTGTTGATAATACGCTCAAAAGCTTGGCCAAATTTGTACTTAACACTCATGGAAACCTTCTAATTCATTCAACTGCTATTAGCTACTGTAACCATCAACTTGCTTAAAAGGAAAGTTGTTAAAAAATCAAAATTTAAACCCATTTATGTTTAAAACACCTGTTAATGATGCTTTTTTCTTTTCTTTTTCCAGTTTGGTTACCAGTCTGAATAGACTTCTGGCTCTATTCCTTTCCTATCTGTAACATTAAAACAATATATTCTTACCAAATGTGTCTTTTAGCAAGATGTTCTTAGACAATTCCAGATGAAATCAGAACCTTTCCCTCAAAAACACAACACTGGTGTCAAATCCTGCTGAGAATTTAAAGTATGTGAAGTGGCACCAGGTCTGGGAGGTTGTGGCCAAAAGGCAATGTAGCAACTACTGGTGCCACACAGTCTCCATCCCTTAAAGAGGGCTTGTGCTGGAACCACATGCAAACCCCGTCAAAGTGACTGGAAACTATTTAACTGCAGAACATGGTAGACTGCTTCCACGGTCGTTTTTTAAAAATCATATACGTGGGGAAGGTGAGCCACCGCAATGAAAACAGATTCCTAGCTGCCAAAAAAAGAAGTTTTAAAAAGCTTATATTGCAAAGTAATAAAATAGATATTTACTAGCTTGTTAACTGAGTTTTGCAAATGAGAGCGGTTGGCATGCAATATTTTTCTTAGAATGAACACGTTAAAAATATAAAGCTGTCTGGAAGGTACAAGCTGAGCATCCGAGCAAATAACCATTTGGTTTGATATACAATTCTGTTGGCAGTCTTCTATACTTAGCCAAGAACTTGGAACCTGCAGCCCATCACGTATCTTTTAAGAATTCCAGTGTTCCAGGCTTTCCCTTTATATACATATAAACAGAAAAAATATACACCAAGAAGTAGGAAAGGGTACATAGGATTCATTCAGCAGGTCTCCCATGCACTCTAAACCGATAGAGGCAAGTGTACTCTGTATGGCCCCAGTTAGAAAAAATTCTTAGCTCCACTATCTGGAATGGTTTTTCAGTTGTCTCCTAAAAAAATAAAGGACGAGGAAGAAGTTAGAACTTAGCAGATAACTTACTTTAAAAGTAATTTGTCTGTAGAATAAATTATATTGTTATAAATGTTAAATGCTATGAATTCAGTCCAGCCCTTGTTAACCACATAACTCATACCAGTTATTTCTTAGTGCAAAAAATTGGACTAAAAGGGTGCTTATGGTTGTACCCAAAACCTACTCACAACAGACTCACTGACATTAATGGACAGAAGTTAGGGTGGTATCCAGTGCTAGTCCTACACAGAGTAGACCTACTGAAGTTAGTGGATGTGAATAACTTAGGTTTATTAATTTCAGTGGGTCTCTTCTCAGCAGGACCTAGCAACCCTTAGTCATGTTCATTAACTTTAATGGGTTTGCTTTGAGCAGGACCAGTATTGGACACAACCATTAGCTTTTCGGTATTTTGTCCTTAAAAGAAGCAGGATTACAATGTTGTATCTATAACTGTTGCTACAGCTTCCTTTGCATTCAACTTTACATGCACTATTGCAGTCAAAATACGTAAAAAATCCATCAAGCCCATGCAAAAAGGCAGGGCCAACAGTTCACAGATCAACTTATGTGATATTAGAGGAGGGGAGAATTTGCAGTTAGGGGAATTTGAAATGCAAATTTCCTCCAGTTTGGAAAGCCTTGTGCTACTTTAAGATTTCTGTGAATTAGCAGTAAGTATGCTAGTAAAAAACTCTGTGGGCTTATATGCAAGACTGGAGCAAACCAGACTTTTATATTTTATTTGTCACATGCGTGATCTAGCTTCTTTGCTTTACAGTAGCAAATCCAAACCTAATACTATTTGCATTCATGTCAATACCTCCAAGAGTGTAAAAGAAAGAAACCTAAAGGCAGATAGGTTTTGTACTAATGTTGACATACCGTTACTTGAAACATCTGTAATGGCTCTCCATCTTGATCATAAATATACTGCCCAAGAAGTACGCCCTCTTGTTCATACTCACTTTCAAGACCCTGCCAACACAAATGTTTAATATTATTCTGAATTCACCAGAGAAGGTAACTATATGATTCAGTTTTAATTTCAACCTCTCTCGGTCCCTATTAAAAGACAAGATCACAATAAAAGCATGTAGGACACACAACATATCCCACACACACCCTGAATATTTTTAGGATATGAAAAATATGAATTTACTACTTGGATTTCTACAAAGACCACCACAAAGTCTCAGGATAATTGCAGTGTAAAATACTAGAAATGGCTGAAATGTGGTCTGTATGCAGGAGTAACTTTTATAAACCGTCACATCTTGACTTTCTACTTCAATTTTAACACGAAATATATTAAGTTGAATGTGTGATCTCCTGTTCTGTTCTTTTCATTTCTTTGTTTTACTGAAAATTCGTTTATGTTATCTATCTGGGTACACTGAAAAGCTAATCAGAACAGTCTGTTCTTACAGCTGCTTGTACAGATGTCAAATAGAGTTCCCAAGGGAAGAGTTTTGAAGCAGGCACATCCGGGGAAGGTTAGGTGATAAATCAATACACTGAGTTATAAGAAGTCCTTTTCCTTTGATCCCCCTTTTATAACAATTGCAAAATAGGTAAATTTGAGGAAAACCACCCTAATCTATTTTGTCAAAGATAAAGCTTACATATACTGAAAAATCCTTTGGAGCACTGGTAATATTGCCTGTTGGTGAAAGTGTTTTTGGTATGTGTTCCAGGGTGAAGGCTGTAGGATAGATCATCATGGAAAGCCTGACAACCAGATATCCCTGTGATCCTTTGAAAGCCCAGCAGTTTCCAGGATACATGTCAGGCTTAAGGGAAGAAATAAAAAAAAGTTACAGTTCCATTAATAAGTTTAAAAATAACAAGAGATCTGACATTATAATGTGGACAAAGCATATACTGAGAAATTGCATAATTTCCTTAGATGGTGCGTATCCTTTAAGTCATGTAGCTCAGCAGCTCAAAATTATAATAACTAAAGTACAGCAACATAATAATGCCGTATGGCATCATCATAAAAAATGTGAAGCAATTATAATCTGAAATAGCTTCCTTTAAGAAACCTTTAAGCAACTTTTGTTGCATAATTCAGTGGTTTTAAAACTTTCTGCACTGTTTTGGGAAATCTACCTATTGTAGGGGAATTGAGTGACATGTTTGAGGTCTGTTTGGTTTCACCATCACCTTCTCTAAACTTACTGTGCCTCCTAAAATAATTATGAGCTGACCTTAGTTTGGTGTGATCTGTCTCTTTGTTTTGTTTTTAAGCTAGAATCCCCACAGTCTACTTGTATATTTTATAGTTACAAAGCAAGAGGTATGACTGATCTGCATTGTGACCCTAAATGTGCTCTCTTTTTTAAGGACTGGATCAGGCTTTCTAGTCCAGCAATCGGGGGGGGGGGGGCAGACACCTCAGGAGCCAACAAGCCATGTTCTGCCTTTTATCCAGACCTGTTGCATACTCAATACCCCTGTACATGAACACTGCAGAAGGTGCTTATTGGTGGACAAGCAGTTTTTCAGGGAAGCTTATTACCGATCTTCTCACTGAACACCCTGAGAAGCCACAGGCTTCCTGTGTGCACAATTTGAAAACTACTGGTGTTTTTTTACAATCTAGTGCATAAAAAATTATGAAATGGCTAATAAAAGAAGCTCAGTGTTGGGTCAGTGACAACTGTCCTGGCTGTATAAGGGCATACACCCCTACGGAACAGCCCTATACTTCAAGAATGTGCACACACGGGATATACTAGACATCAGAATTCATGACTGTAACATCGTTTCAGAAAGCCGGTCAACATTTGGGTTCTGAAGAGTGCACAAATTTAGCTGCAAAGCATCTCAGTGGTAAGGAACTGAGCAACAGTCAACATATAAATGCACCTTCATCGAATTCTTGCCAGAGATTCTGGAAGAAAAGCTAACAAGAGATGGAAACTAAGTGATAGCAAGGTTAGCTCATCCAATATTGGCACAAAATTCATTCCTATTCCATGAGCAAAGAAAGAAGCTGATGCCAGGATGCCAACAAGATGTGAGGAAGCCAAGATACTGCTGTACTAAGCAGAAATGACCTTACCTGTTGACACAGAAACCCTTCTGGACAAAAGTCCTGAGCAAGTTATGCCTTTAAGAGGGAAAATATGTTTCCTAGGTGTTTTAAAAGTCACTAGCCTTTTAATTACCTGGATCACTACGCGAGGAGATTGAGAGAAGTACCACAAAGGAATTCCAAAGAGACTAATTAGAGCTGTTTTGGTTTCGTACGTCTCTGAACAGCGAGTACTCAAAATACTGCCACCTTGAAGAAACAAGAAAACTATTCAGGTTTGTTAATAAGACAGTGCGGACTTACTCTGCGTGTGCCTCTTCATTCTTTTTAAATACTAAAACCTTGCGCTACTTAATGCAGCCGTTTTCAACCCTTGGCAGCCAACTATGCTTTGGGGGACTGCAGACAAGGCAGCCAGCACAAACTCTAGCTGCTGGACAGCAGTCTGTTTTCTCCTTTATAAAGAACAGCCTCACCTTCCTTGCTCTAATAATCTAGAGTCCAAGGGCTGGTGGTGCAGATGGAGCTGGCTCTTCTGCTCTTAGCTGTGGTTGAGCAATTAGGAGCTAGCTTTTCAAATATGTGCTCCCCCTTCTCCCACCTCTTCCCCTCTTGGCAGTGAATTATTTACATTCCCACCACCTGAACACATGGCAAAAATATCTATGCCAATCTTATTTTAAAAAAATAATTCTTAAAAGCAAATTTAACAAATAAAAAGGAAAACGAAGGCAAAAAGTGAAGGAAAAACAAAACCCACTGTTGGCTCATATTTAGGATACAATAATCATCTGTATATCCTTCTTAAATTAACCATATATATTGATATAAGCCAGCCAGATGTCCAAACAGGTATCTACACATGATGGATTTTTATGGGAAATAAGTTCAACTTTAACAAGAGCAGTGCTAATCTCAACCATGACTCCTGCTGACTAGCGTTCCTTTCTAAACCAGGTAGAAAGAGGTTTTCAGGTTGGAGAATTTTAGCTTTCCTAGTGATTGATTTAAAGCACATTTCTAGATTCCCATAACTGCAGAGTCAAGAGTAAATTGTTCTTTCCTCAATGCAACTAGCCGTTAATCTCCCGGGGTGCCCAGGCCATATTTCCCAAGCTGTCTCCACCCACTTCTCTTATGTCTGAGCCTCTTACACACAAACTCTATTAGTCTCTGAGCTAAAGCCTGTTATGGGATGAAGTATTCTATATTTATTTATTTTGGGGATTTATACCCCAGCCTTTTGACAAGTGCCCTGAAGGCAGCTTACAAAACAAATCCATTTAAAATCAAGCAAAACTGGCACTGAAAGCTACAAAATGAAACAAAAGAAGTAGCAAGTTATAATTAGTATAATGCTGTAGCTCTCAAGGGGGGTATGAAGTTGAGTGAAAAGTATGGCCTGAGGGAGAGATGGTAGAGGGTAAGGAGGGGTTGTGCCCTGGTGAGAGCCCCAAGGGCCAGAAAGAGAAGCCTGGAATACTGCATTCCCCCCCCCCCCGGCCTAAGGTTCCTCCCTGCTATTTTAGGTGGTAGTCAAATACACCCAGGGGAAAAGTTAAAGGGTTTGGGGGCCACAACAGGAAAGGCTCCTAGATCCAGCAAAACTTCTGCAGAACTTACTATCTGTAATGAAGATCAGCTCAAAATGTTTAAACTATTTAAATGGTTGCTCAACACCTCTGGTATAAGACAGCCAATATCCCCTCAGAACTTACCTCCAGATTCCAAGGCAAAGTCAACCATGCCAGTCTTGTCTTGTGAAAAGAGCTTCAGTGCGTTGTTGACAATAATGCGTGCTTGCTGCAAATATACGTAAGAGGAATATGAGAAATTGAGAGTAAGCACTGTATTTCAGCATTCTGACACACTGATGTCAAGTTGCGTTTTTGCCACAGAATTGTTTTATACAGCATTATCCCAAAAAATGTCTCTCTGAATTAAGAAAAAGTTCATGAAACCAGTATAAGAATGTAAACAGAGGATGCCTGTTGGTATTCTAAAGCAGTGACACTACCTGTTCCTAATGCCTACCAACTGTGTTCCCAGTGGAGGTGGGACAAAGAGGGCCTTCAAGGCCAATCTTAACTTTCAGGCTTGGGCAAACTAGTCTTTGAAGCAACATATGGGCAAATCTGGTCTTTGATGTGACAAAGCCTCAGGCGATTAACAGTTTTAAAGGTCAATGCCAGAACTATGAATTGAGTTAGTGTTCAATAGTACAAATTGTACTCCTGAGCAGTAACCAATACAGTCAATATGGATGTGCTGTCCTCTTTATGAAATGCCATTCAGAATGAATGGGGCTGGTTTTCCTTTTTATGGCTGGAATTTTATTGATGTTTCTCTGGCTGCATTTTTAATTTTTAAGCAGTCCAATCTGACAATTTGATTTTTAAATTATGTTTGTGTTTGTTACATTACCCTGATTACATTATTTAATTTTGTTGCATATCTATCTTGAGTGCCGCTCTTATTGGCAGAAAATGTGGTATGTAAATTTCAAAAAAATGTTTCATCAGGATTTATTTTATATGCCTATTATTATTTCCAGCTTTATAACCCAGCAAGCCCTCAAGACATCACCTTCGCAGATCCAAGGTATCATCATCTAATGACACTGATGAAATTATAATTTCAAATATTGGAGCAAGATTAACATTTTGTTCTGACTCAGTGAGGAACAAAGAACTCACATTAAAGTCAATTCACAAACTGTACTTAACACCACATAACTATTTTACTCGCCAGAATGTTGGAGGGGATGCCAAACCCTTGAGATGTGCTTTCATTTATGGTGGGATTGCCCAAAGGTTAAATGCTTTGGGGATGCAGTACTCTATGAAACTGGAACTACCATAAAATGCCAGGATACACCTTCTCCACACCAGGCACTCCTTAAAGACACTACAATGTACAGCGAGCAATTAGCTGGACACTTTCTTATTGCAGCATGATTCAGAATTTTGCAATTGTGAACAGACTTGGCAGGAGTTAATCTGGATTATTCGTATGCAAAGGTATGGGACGCTGTATTATTTAAAAAGCTGACATTCAAAATAAGAGTCCTTAGAGGCCAAAGTAAAAAAGATACCATTACAAAATCATACCACACTAAATTAAATTTATGTTAATAGACATAAACATGGACTGTCTCCATCTCAATCTTTTTATCATTTATCTAAAATATTTGCGCACATCTTTCTTTTGCAAAACATTTGTAGTTGAAGATGAATTGAACTTACTATCTTAAAAACGAAATGCATAGAAACTTAAGCATAAGTTTAATGAAGCTGTTTCACAAAAGTGCAATCTAGAGTTTTAGTGGAAATGTACAATATTTTTCGTCTTACGTACCGCTTCTGTGATGCCTGAAATCCCAGCCTCATTCACAACGCTCGTTACTACCTCTGAAGTTGACTTTGTATTTGCGACAGACATGTGGAGAGTTATGTTCTTGAGGATCTGCAACTCCAGATCTTGTAACAAATTTTGCAAGTCACTCTTGCTCACAAATTTGGATGTTAGCCACTGAAGCAGTGATTCTGGCAAGTCTCCTTGTTGGTTGCCAAAAAGCATGATCTTGACTGATTCTTTAACTTGGGCATCTACCTAGAAACATATCATACGGCAAGTTATATCACTGGCTTTGGATCACTTTCCAAATAGAATAGTGGTTCTCTTAACACACATACTTATTTTAGTTTCCTGCTATTCCCAACAATTAGACTGCTGTAACATAAAAGTTGAGGTACTTCAACATTATGTTTTAATACACTAAGTTAGGCAACAAACCATATTACCTCTGTCATAGTCATTCATGTTAACTATTCAAAGGAAACAAGTCAGAAATTCCACTGGGTTTCTGTAAACCCCTTCTGTGGGCCTAATCTGCTCTTTGGATCCCAGCTCTACAGCCTTTAATCCATTTACCATGATCTTCAAATGGAATGACAGGGATAGCCAAAAGAAAATTCTAAATAACTATAAGCTAGTGCCTCCCCACAGAAATTGAGTAGGCCAGCCTCCTGCTTGTAGACAGTCCTGTAAAGTCCTGAAACCAATTGCATCTTATGGTATTGTATTTTGAGTAAGCTAAACAGACACAACCATATGCTTCTCAGCAAATCAATCCCTCCAGGAATCTTGCCTTGGACACAAAATGCTTTGTCAGAACTGGGTGCACAAATACAACATATTAAACTTCATTCAGGGAAGTCTCATTTTGAACTTACCTTTTCATGAAGGGCATCCATTCTGTCACAGCAAGTTTTCAAACCCTGTGAACTTAGCAGGTCTGATTTCATGCGACCTAACTCAAGTTCTAGGTGTTTAATCTTGGATAACAGATGCTTATTTTGTTCATCAGTGTCACTGACAGCACAGAAAGATAATAAAAGACAAAGTTCAAATATCAGAACTATTAGTAACAGATCTAGTAACAGTCAACAAAACATTACGCTGAAGTAAAACAAAATGAGCAAGTTTTTGGCAGAGAGATGTGTTCTCCATGCATGCAAGAACATATTTGATGTGATAAACATGATCCTTCTACTCCACTATGAGCAAGATAAAAAAGCAGCAATGGAGATGAAGGTATGAACCATTCACACTTTGCTTATTATTCATTTGGGGAAATGTTCAAAGCCACCCAAAGTTCATACGATTCTTTGGAAATTTCTATGCAATTCACAGCATTTTGTTGAATTTGCTACTATACGTAGATATGAAACAGACATTAAATTCCAATTGTTGTTTTGAAGTAGCATGGTGGGGTGAAAATGCTGAATTCCCTTATAGTTTCAGCACAAAGCAGCAGTAAGCTAATCAGCAAACAAACTGAATTTTGAAACTTTAAAATCAATTTTCTGGGCATATGGTTTAAGCCAGTGTAAAACAAGTATAGAATTAAAATAAGTCACCAGAAAGAAAATAAATTCTGAGTTGGTGGAATGACAGAATGATATTCCAGACTTATAGCAAGTTTTAGAATGTAATTTCAAGATGCAGTATAGTGACAACAAAGGCCAAACATTCAGTAGCTAAAACCACCCCCCTTATAGAGCCACCCACCCATTTTTAATTCAGAGGTGTTAAAAGAAGAACAGTTATCATCTGTTTACAGGCTAGTTTTAACTGCTTAGTGGCAAGGAGCTAGCTGCAGCCATACCTCATTCTTTGTGCTTTGGTTAGCTCAAGTTCCTTTTGAAGGCCCTGAAAAATAACAAAATGATTAAATTCACATGGAACCTCCTTATTCTGAACTACAGAAGAGATGCTGTGAAGAAAAGATTCCCAGACAACAGAAACTTGGACTTGGAAAAAGTAGAGGATGAGGAACCAATTTGCATACTTTCTAAACTTCATTCAAAATTTCTGATAGCAATTTTGACATATTCATGCCATGGTGGAATGGGGGCGGGTGAGAAAAAGTGGAAGAGGCACTGGACTCCAATTGGGACTGCATGTGACTTGGGGAACAAAATTGCTCTTAAACTACTCGGTGGTGGTAGTTATTGTAATCCAGCTCTTATCCATTAACTCAACATATGGCTATGGGGTAAGGGAGTGCATCACAAGAAAGGAAGCCACAATCCTTCTTCCAGAGAAGAAGCAGAAACATTACCTGACATATGGAGATCCACATAACACTCTGGATCCCAAGACTGCAACTTGAGGTTACTAATCGTATTTTCACTAGGGCCTCTTTGCAAGTGAAAAATCCTTTCCTCTTTCTGTCTGATGTTTATCCAGAATAAATCTTGTTTGGTCAAACCAACTGTCTTCCATTATCCCAGCACATATCTAATTTTTTAATGCTTTTGAGAAATGCTTAGAGTGCTAACTGCAATTTTTTAAAAAAATGTTTCTTAATGCTGGAAAAATAGATCTGCCTTCCAAATTTGAATATTCTGGTTCTCACAACAAATTATACATTTGACACACTTTTGGCCTTATGAGCAACTTGTGGTATTTATCCTCACAACCATCCTGAGAAGCTAGTTTGATTGACAGATTATAAAGTGCCAAGGGGTACCCCCAGTGAAATTTTTAGACCATTGGAACCTAGACTTCCCACATCCAAGCCCAGCATAATAGCCATTAAACTACCACTTTGTGCCCAAAGACATCTCTTCCCATCTAGGCAAGCAAGAGGCCATTACCAAAGTTCAAGGAGACATTCTTGCCAGATGACCAATTGGAGGAGGGTTTGCAACAGCATTAGTTCTAGGAGATAATATCCAAAAATAGAGAGGCCTGGACACTCACATTTGGCTCCCTGGCCTGAGGTTCCACACTGATGAGGTGACAGATTTCTCTTTTTCTTCTTCCCTTTCCTTAAGCATATTTGCTTGGAAGCAACCTGTGGATTTCACTGGGACTTACTTCCAATCAAGTATTCTTAAAATTACAGCCTTTCTACTGAAAGAAACTCTTAAAGTCTATCACTCTTTTCATTACCTCTGATTTTTCTGAGAGTTTTGCAAGGAGATCTTCTAAAGCTACAATGCGCCATTCATGTTCTTGGTGCAAGGTCAGAAAGTCACGCTTTAAAGATAAAAGAGAATAGTAACTTTTGAAGCTTATTGCTCACAAGATCCCTCCCATATTTAAATATTGTATGGATTTTAACCACACAACCCAAAATAATATCTGTTTATCCTGAAGCCATATTTAAGTACAATGACCATATGAGAGCTATTTAACGCAGTTTGAAAAGGTAAAGAAGCAAAATGGTATCATTTTAAAATCCATTCATGAAAAGCGTATTTTCTTCCTTTAAGAGACAGTGCTTCAACTCTTAAGCTAATCATAGGAACATGTGTTAAATGTACTGCATGTTGGGCTTTATATCAAATAATGCATTTTTAATGTTACCATCCTCAGGTTAAGCAATGCATTTGGCTGAATGGAATTATAATGAAATGCTTCCAGTGAGAATGACTATAATGCAATTTGCTAAACTATTATCATGTGCAAGCTAAAAACACTTGTATCCCACCCACACAAGCTCTCATTTCCCATGTCAGTTCTAAACAGCCTCCTACAACAGAAGTATTATTGAGTATTTGAATGACAAGTCTGTAATGATCACATTAAAACTCCCAAGTTTTTAAGAAACAGTTCCAAACAAATTACCGCTGGGTGTAGCGTTTCATCAGGTTTCATTTCTTTATATGCTGGCCCACCACATTTTTTAATGAGTGTCAGCATTTCACTTTTGTCATTCATCTGGGTAACTTGATCTTGAAGGCTTTGCAGGAGAAGTAGCATTTTACTATATTCTTCATCCTGATGATGCCATCTCTTAGACATAAAGGCCATTTTCTTTTCCAGCTCTATCACACGATCTGCATCAAATACCTTCATAGTTTCCTATAATTTTAAAGGGTATTTATTCATTTATACTCCAGCTCTGTTCTAAAACATTCATAGTGGTTTACAATAACAAATAGCTCACAACTGCAACAAATTACAGTTGTAAAACCAAAACAAAAACCCTTAAAACATGTTAGAGAAGCAGACTAAAGTAGCAGCTGCAGTTAATCCTGAATAATAACACCATTCAGAAAAGGTCCAATGAAATAAAATTGTCTCCACTGTTTTGCCTAAAGCATGCAGTGATAAGAATGGTATACCTCTCTTGGGAGTTTATTCCAGATTTTGGGATTAATTCTCATTAGCCCCAAAGCAACGAATGATAAATAAAATTTAAGAGACGGATTTAAACCATACACTGCACATGGAAAGGAGATGGGGAGGAGTCCAAAGGTCATCCATTGGGGAAGGGGCTTTTTTTAAAAAACAAAGCAAAACTATGCACTATGCATATTGATGAGCTATCTATCAGTCAACACAACGTGTGAAGCATCAAGCCAGCCTCATGCTCTGGAGTTTCAAAAAGAGAAAGCCTGTCAGACACCTGGAAAGTCAAGACAGGAAGCAACAATAGTTCCTGGTAGGCTGCTGTACATGGCTGGCATATGTCATGTTTGGCATAGCAGACTAAGGCCTGCACAACAGGAACAAAATAATATGGCCAGTTCTTGGTTGTATCACTCCCAACCCTCCATAATAATGGCAGGTATTCATTTGCAGATGGATAGACCAAAGGCCATCATCTAATAGGAAAGTGAGTAACATCCGGACCCCCTTAGCCTTCACATGCGAAACAAAAAGCCTTAAGACACATATTTTTAAAGAGCACTTACATCGGGGTATGGAAGAGCATAAGAGTCATCGGGCTGAGGCTCAATGATATTTGCAGAATCTTCCCAGCTGTGTATTCTGTGTATGCCCGTCCAATTCAAAGCTGGCAATAACGAAAGGAAACCTTCAGTACCCCAGTGCCATAATCCTAAAAGAAAGAAGGCAAAAAGGGGTAAAGATAAAGCTCTTGATAACAGGAAATCCTCAGATTTTTTTTCTAAAGTAAGTTCGACAAAATAAACCAACTTTAATTCGGCATTAATCATTAAATTAATAACTTTGACCACAGTCTATATCAGGGGCCAGCAAACATTTTCAGCAGGGGGCCGGTCCACTGTTCCTCAGACCTTGTGGGGGGCCAGACTATTATTTTTTTGGGGTGAGGTGTGTGTGAAATGAACGAATTCCTATGCCCCACAAATAACCCAGAGATGCAAAATGATTAAATTCACATGGAACTCCTTATTCTGACTACAGAAGAGATGCTGTGAAGAAAAGATTCCCAGACAACAGAAACTTGGACTTGGAAAAAGTAGAGGATGAGGAACCAATTTGCATAATTTTAAACTTCATTCAAAATTTCTGATAGCAATTTTGACATATTCATGCCATGGTGGAATGGGGGCGGGTGAGAAAAAGTGGAGAGGCCACTGGACTCCAATTGGGACTGCATGGTGACTTGGGGAACAAAATTGCTCTTAAACTACTCGGTGGTGGTAGTTATTGTAATCCAGCTCTTATCCATTAACTCAACATATGGCTATGGGGTAAGGGAGTGCATCACAAGAAAGGAAGCCACAATCCTTCTTCCAGAGAAGAAGCAGAAACATTACCTGACATATGGAGATCCACATAACACTCTGGATCCCAAGACTGCAACTTGAGGTTACTAATCGTATTTTCACTAGGGCCTCTTTGCAAGTGAAAAATCTTTCCTCTTTCTGTCTGATGTTTATCCAGAATAAATCTTGTTTGGTCAAACCATGTCTTCCATTATCCAGCACATATCTAATTTTTTAATGCTTTGAGAAATGCTTAGAGTGCTAACTGCAATTTTTTAAAAAAATGTTTCTTAATGCTGGAAAAATAGATCTGCCTTCCAAATTTGAATATTCTGGTTCTCACAACAAATTATACATTTGACACACTTTTGGCCTTATGAGCAACTTGTGGTATTTATCCTCACAACCATCCTGAGAAAGCTAGTTTGATTGACAGATTATAAAGTGCCAAGGGGTACCCCCAGTGAAATTTTTAGACCATTGGAACCTAGACTTCCCACATCCAAGCCCAGCATAATAGCCATTAAACTACCACTTTGTGCCCAAAGACATCTCTTCCCATCTAGGCAAGCAAGAGGCATTACCAAAGTTCAAGGAGACATTCTTGCCAGATGACCAATTGGAGGAGGGTTTGCAACAGCTAGAAACCTGTCTACTCAGTGGTCTAACTTCCCCTCTTAATTCCTCTATCCTCTTTTTGTTTTCGTCTGCTTTTGTATTTACTTCCTCGACTAGTTTTCGATTTTCTGTTGTAGTCTTTCAATGTTACCTATTGCCTGTGTATTTTTAGTGACTTGGTCTGTCAATTTATTAATTGAGGCTGTCACCTGGTCAAATTTAGCAGCTTGTTCATCAAACCTAGCTGCTTGTTCATCAGCTTTCTTATTCAGTGCTGCCAACTGCTCCAATATTTCTTTAGAGACAGGATCTAGCCCTCCAGCAGCCATCTCTCCAAGAGTAGGCTGTATAGATTGTCCTTCCTGCAGACCTGTCCAAAATTGGAACAGATGATCTGCGTAACTGCACAGGCAAAGTTGATTGTAAAAGTTCCGTTTGTTTTGCTTTCTTTCCAGCCCTTGTTTTTGCTGAACCACTCATTCCACAGCTGTCCCGGTGTCAAGGTCAAATTGTAAATCCCATGGGAAAAGCAATCCCAAAGAAAGTAAACATCCAGATAGAAAAAATTCCAAGACCAGTAGCAGTTCTCAGAGACTAATAATTCCACAATCCAGCAGGGGGAGCTCCCCAGAAATTAGGGAGAAGGATAGGAAATTTCCACCATTAAGTTCCCACAACCACAAAAAAAAAAAAAAAAAAAGGTTATCCGAAGCAGGGGGGGAACCCTTCACATTCAGTTTAAACTGCAGAGAATAAAAGTTCTTTGCCAAGGTGCGTGCAACAGTTCCTTTTTGCAATTTACAAAGTAGCCCAATGTAACTTAATAATTTTATCTACAGTTACCGCAGTCCGATGTTACTTGTATCCGATCAGACGAGAGCAGGGTTTCAAAACTTTGTAATCCACATGGGAATAGAGAGAGGATCACAGTCTTTGCTCACTTATAAAACTGTTATGTCCTTTCTTTAACTTTTAATCAATCAAAGCCGAATTTGCAGAGTACATTCCAACTCCTTTTAAGTTCCTTTCAGCGCTTCAACTTTAAAGGGGACTTTGCTCGATACTTTAAACAGAGCGGAAGACTGACTTCCTTTTTAGCGTCTCCCGCTTTCAGCCAAAATTCGCCAAATTAAGTTCAGTTAAAGCCTCAGGTTTCTTACTCACGAGTAGGTTGTTTCAATTCTGTTGTTCAAAGAAGAAAGGTCAGCGCCGATCAGCAGCAGCCGCGCGGCTTCACTTCCGCGGAAAGAGCGATGGATTCACAGCACCGCTACCCCCTCCACGTTCCAAGGCCCCTTACGGGGTCTCTTCTGCGTTTCCGAGGTCGCTTCTGGTGCCCGCCGAACCCCACGGCCACGGGCTCACTCTACCCGTGGTTTCTCTTGGTGGGTCGTCGCTGTGCCGCAGCGCACGACCCTTTTCCGCGGAGCTCCTCTTCAGCAACTGAAGAGGACCGCCATTGCTGAACGCGCCGCCTCCGGAACACAAATACAACATATTAAACTTCATTCAGGGAAGTCTCATTTTTGAACTTACCTTTTCATGAAGGGCATCCATTCTGTCACAGCAAGTTTTCAAACCCTGTGAACTTAGCAGGTCTGATTTCATGCGACCTAACTCAAGTTCTAGGTGTTTAATCTTGGATAACAGATGCTTATTTTGTTCATCAGTGTCACTGACAGCACAGAAAGATAATAAAAGACAAAGTTCAAATATCAGAACTATTAGTAACAGATCTAGTAACAGTCAACAAAACATTACGCTGAAGTAAAACAAAATGAGCAAGTTTTTGGCAGAGAGATGTGTTCTCCATGCATGCAAGAACATATTTGATGTGATAAACATGATCCTTCTACTCCACTATGAGCAAGATAAAAAAGCAGCAATGGAGATGAAGGTATGAACCATTCACACTTTGCTTATTATTCATTTGGGGAAATGTTCAAAGCCACCCAAAGTTCATACGATTCTTTGGAAATTTCTATGCAATTCACAGCATTTTGTTGAATTTGCTACTATACGTAGATATGAAACAGACATTAAATTCCAATTGTTGTTTTGAAGTAGCATGGTGGGGTGAAAATGCTGAATTCCCTTATAGTTTCAGCACAAAGCAGCAGTAAGCTAATCAGCAAACAAACTGAATTTTGAAACTTTAAAATCAATTTTCTGGGCATATGGTTTAAGCCAGTGTAAAACAAGTATAGAATTAAAATAAGTCACCAGAAAGAAAATAAATTCTGAGTTGGTGGAATGACAGAATGATATTCCAGACTTATAGCAAGTTTTAGAATGTAATTTCAAGATGCAGTATAGTGACAACAAAGGCCAAACATTCAGTAGCTAAAACCACCCCCCTTATAGAGCCACCCACCCATTTTTAATTCAGAGGTGTTAAAAGAAGAACAGTTATCATCTGTTTACAGGCTAGTTTTAACTGCTTAGTGGCAAGGAGCTAGCTGCAGCCATACCTCATTCTTTGTGCTTTGGTTAGCTCAAGTTCCTTTTGAAGGCCCTGAAAAATAACAAAATGATTAAATTCACATGGAACCTCCTTATTCTGAACTACAGAAGAGATGCTGTGAAGAAAAGATTCCCAGACAACAGAAACTTGGACTTGGAAAAAGTAGAGGATGAGGAACCAATTTGCATACTTTCTAAACTTCATTCAAAATTTCTGATAGCAATTTTGACATATTCATGCCATGGTGGAATGGGGGCGGGTGAGAAAAAGTGGCAGAGGCACTGGACTCCAATTGGGACTGCATGTGACTTGGGGAACAAAATTGCTCTTAAACTACTCGGTGGTGGTAGTTATTGTAATCCAGCTCTTATCCATTAACTCAACATATGGCTATGGGGTAAGGGAGTGCATCACAAGAAAGGAAGCCACAATCCTTCTTCCAGAGAAGAAGCAGAAACATTACCTGACATATGGAGATCCACATAACACTCTGGATCCAAGACTGCAACTTGAGGTTACTAATCGTATTTTCACTAGGGCCTCTTTGCAAGTGAAAAATCCTTTCCTCTTTCTGTCTGATGTTTATCCAGAATAAATCTTGTTTGGTCAAACCAACTGTCTTCCATTATCCCAGCACATATCTAATTTTTTAATGCTTTGAGAAATGCTTAGAGTGCTAACTGCAATTTTTTAAAAAAATGTTTCTTAATGCTGGAAAAATAGATCTGCCTTCCAAATTTGAATATTCTGGTTCTCACAACAAATTATACATTTGACACACTTTTGGCCTTATGAGCAACTTGTGGTATTTATCCTCACAACCATCCTGAGAAGCTAGTTTGATTGACAGATTATAAAGTGCCAAGGGGTACCCCCAGTGAAATTTTTAGACCATTGGAACCTAGACTTCCCACATCCAAGCCCAGCATAATAGCCATTAAACTACCACTTTGTGCCCAAAGACATCTCTTCCCATCTAGGCAAGCAAGAGGCATTACCAAAGTTCAAGGAGACATTCTTGCCAGATGACCAATTGGAGGAGGGTTTGCAACAGCATTAGTTCTAGGAGATAATATCCAAAAATAGAGAGGCCTGGACACTCACATTTGGCTCCCTGGCCTGAGGTTCCACACTGATGAGGTGACAGATTTCTCTTTTTCTTCTTCCCCTTCCTTAAGCATATTTGCTTGGAAGCAACCTGTGGATTTCACTGGGACTTACTTCCAATCAAGTATTCTTAAAATTACAGCCTTTCTACTGAAAGAAACTCTTAAAGTCTATCACTCTTTTCATTACCTCTGATTTTTCTGAGAGTTTTGCAAGGAGATCTTCTAAAGCTACAATGCGCCATTCATGTTCTTGGTGCAAGGTCAGAAAGTCACGCTTTAAAGATAAAAGAGAATAGTAACTTTTGAAGCTTATTGCTCACAAGATCCCTCCCATATTTAAATATTGTATGGATTTTAACCACACAACCCAAAATAATATCTGTTTATCCTGAAGCCATATTTAAGTACAATGACCATATGAGAGCTATTTAACGCAGTTTGAAAAGGTAAAGAAGCAAAATGGTATCATTTTAAAATCCATTCATGAAAAGCGTATTTTCTTCCTTTAAGAGACAGTGCTTCAACTCTTAAGCTAATCATAGGAACATGTGTTAAATGTACTGCATGTTGGGCTTTATATCAAATAATGCATTTTTAATGTTACCATCCTCAGGTTAAGCAATGCATTTGGCTGAATGGAATTATAATGAAATGCTTCCAGTGAGAATGACTATAATGCAATTTGCTAAACTATTATCATGTGCAAGCTAAAAACACTTGTATCCCACCCACACAAGCTCTCATTTCCCATGTCAGTTCTAAACAGCCTCCTACAACAGAAGTATTATTGAGTATTTGAATGACAAGTCTGTAATGATCACATTAAAACTCCCAAGTTTTAAGAAACAGTTCCAAACAAATTACCGCTGGGTGTAGCGTTTCATCAGGTTTCATTTCTTTAATATGCTGGCCCACCACATTTTTAATGAGTGTCAGCATTTCACTTTTGTCATTCATCTGGGTAACTTGATCTTGAAGGCTTTGCAGGAGAAGTAGCATTTTACTATATTCTTCATCCCGATGATGCCATCTCTTAGACATAAAGGCCATTTTCTTTTCCAGCTCTATCACACGATCTGCATCAAATACCTTCATAGTTTCCTATAATTTTAAAGGGTATTTATTCATTTATACTCCAGCTCTGTTCTAAAACATTCATAGTGGTTTACAATAACAAAATAGCTCACAACTGCAACAAATTACAGTTGTAAAACAAATCAAAAACCCTTAAAACAAGTTAGAGAAGCAGACTAAAGTAGCAGCTGCAGTTAATCCTGAATAATAACACCATTCAGAAAAGGTCCAATGAAATAAAATTGTCTCCACTGTTTTGCCTAAAAGCATGCAGTGATAAGAATGGTATACCTCTCTTGGGAGTTTATTCCAGATTTTGGGATTAATTCTCATTAGCCCCAAAGCAACAAATGATAAAATAAAATTTAAGAGACGGATTTAAACCATACACTGCACATGGAAAGGAGATGGGGAGGAGTCCAAAGGTCATCCATTGGGGAAGGGGCTTTTTTTAAAAAAACAAAGCAAAACTATGCACTATGCATATTGATGAGCTATCTATCAGTCAACACAACGTGTGAAGCATCAAGCCAGCCTCATGCTCTGGAGTTTCAAAAAGAGAAAGCCTGTCAGACACCTGGAAAGTCAAGACAGGAAGCAACAATAGTTCCTGGTAGGCTGCTGTACATGGCTGGCATATGTCATGTTTGGCATAGTGGACTAAGGCCTGCACAACAGGAACAAAATAATATGGCCAGCTCTTGGTTGTATCACTCCCAACCCTCCATAATAATGGCAGGTATTCATTTGCAGATGGATAGACCAAAGGCCATCATCTAATAGGAAAGTGAGTAACATCCGGACCCCCTTAGCCTTCACATGCGAAACAAAAAGCCTTAAGACACATATTTTTAAAGAGCACTTACATCGGGGTATGGAAGAGCATAAGAGTCATCGGGCTGAGGCTCAATGATATTTGCAGAATCTTCCCAGCTGTGTATTCTGTGTATGCCCGTCCAATTCAAAGCTGGCAATAACGAAAGGAAACCTTCAGTACCCCAGTGCCATAATCCTAAAAGAAAGAAGGCAAAAAGGGGTAAAGATAAAGCTCTTGATAACAGGAAATCCTCAGATTTTTTTCTAAAGTAAGTTCGACAAAATAAACCAACTTTAATTCGGCATTAATCATTAAATTAATAACTTTGACCACAGTCTATATCAGGGGTCAGCAAGCATTTTCAGCAGGGGGCCAGTCCACTGTTCCTCAGACCTTGTGGGGGGGCCAGACTATTATTTTTTTTGGGTGGGGTGTGTGTGAAATGAACGAATTCCTATGCCCCACAAATAACCCAGAGATGTACAGTGGTGCCTCGCAAGACGAAAAGAATCCGTTCCGCGATTCTTTTCGTCTAGCGGTTTTTTCATCTTGCGAAGCAACCCCATTAGCGGCTAAGCGGATTAGCGCTATTAGCGATTTAGCGCTATTAGCGGGCTTAGCGGCTAAGCTGTTAAAAGGCTATTAACGGCTTAGCGGCTTTGAAAAAGGGGGGAAGCGGGGGGGGGGGAATGGCGAGACTTGCAAGACGTTTTCGTCTTGCGAAGCAAGCCCATAGGGAAATTCGTCTTGCGAAGCGCCTCCGCAACGGAAAACCCTTTCGTCTTGCGGGTTTTTCATCTTGCGAGGCATTTGTCTTGCGGGGCACCACTGTATTTTAATAAAAGGACACATTCTACTCATCTAAAAGCCTGCTGATTCCCGGACCATCCGCAGGCTGGATTTAGAAGGCGACTGGGCCGATCCGGCCCCTGGGCCTTAGTTTGCATGGTCTACATCCTTTCTCAATGCAGATATGAAAACTATGGGAACTCAAGAGCAACAGGGAAGTGCCATGACTCAGTTGGAAAGCATATATGCTGCATGCAGAAGGCCTCAGCTACAATCTCCAGCATCTCCTGATAGGGCGGAGATCACGGAGAATCACTGCCAATCAGTGCAGACATAGGGTGTGATGTGGACCAACAGCCTGACTTAGAATAAAGGAGCTTCCAGTGTTCCCAATAAATCCCAGGGCCCATGCCCTCCAATAAATTAATGATTTCTACCAATTCCGCTACTTAAAACCTTTCAGTCATCTCACTATATGAAGTGCTATTCTACATAATTATTGTACTTAGACACTTCTGTTGCTACAAAGATTCACCGTCAGTGTAGCTGGGCACACTCTTAACCTTCCAGCTGTGGTGGGAGCGGACCACACCTACATGGATTGGATGTTGGGCTCTGCAATGAATTATTCATCATACTTGTGGCTCACCAGGTACTAGGCATGTGTACACACACACACACTTCCAGACCTAGGCAAGCAGGAAAAAAGGCTGCTCAAGCTTCTAGATAAGTGTTTCCCAAACTTGAGCCTCCAGTTGATTTTGGACTTCAATTCCCATAATCTCTGACCACTGGTCCTGCTAGCTAGGGATGATGGGAGTTGTAGTCCAAAAACAGCTTGAGATCCAAGTTTGGGAAATTATTCTAGATCTGGGATGTCCAACCGGTTGATCATGGGGTGTTCCTGGTTGATCGGGTGATTCTGATTGAATGACACACCCCAAAAAACCCTCAACAACTTTGGTGAAGGCTCCCCCCAAAAAGCTCAACAACTTTGGTCAATCCAATGGGTAGATCACTGCCAGTGTTTTTATAGTGGGAGTAGATCACATCTCTTGGAAGTTGGACATCGCTTTTCTAGATGAACCACTGTTATGTGGCTAGTTGGCTGCATTCAGTCTGAGTGGGCCACACATGTAGGCTGAATACACACAACCCTATAAATAGGTAACCTAGATTAGTAAGATTTCAGGCTCATTCTACTGATACATTTCCGCCTACCTAGCAACAGCAATAGCGGGAGGAGAAACAGCAGCAGTCTGAATATCTTTGGAAGGCATCTGGAAAATAGATAAAGGAATTTCACTGCAATTAGCTCACTGCCATTGGTTGCCTGAACATGTAACATATAACTGAAAATTTCAATTCCATTACTTAAGCTCTTTATGACCGTGATCTGTAACAATGCCAACAACATTATGAAGATAGTTTTGTAACCAATTCAGAGAGAAAACAGCAGCACATATTAGACTACAGACCACAATCTAGAACAGTTTAGACTTGCCCATAGGCTTAAAAGGTGCCTAGGAGGACTTTTCTCTCTTGAACAGTGACTTGGTGTGATGTACTGCAAACTGCCTCGAACACATTGATGTTCTCAACAGAAGCTTGTGTTCCAGTCCTGATGGTCGCAGAAAATAAATTGCATGGATTTTAGGATTGTGGCCATTATCTCTCCTCTGTGTTATAAAGTCAATTTTAAAAATAAATTTAGAGGAGTGATGTGGGATGGATTTTTTCCCACTGCTATATACATCCATTGAAAAGTTTCCATTTGTGGAATACATTACTACATACATTTTTTAAAAATAGCATAATGAATTAATGCAAGTCAAACTGAGCAACTGGAATGGGGACAGGAAGTTCTTAGAGCATGGCCAAATTAATTTAACCAGTTTCAGTGCTAACGTTTTCTTTCTTTAAAAAGATTTGCCATGCTTAAAATATAGTGGTACCTCGGGTTAAGTACTTAATTTGTTCCGGAGGTCCGTTCTTAACCTGAAACTGTTCTTAACCTGAAGCACCACTTTAGCTAATGGGGCCTCCCGCTGCCGCCACGCCACCGGAGCACGATTTCTGTTCTCATCCTGAAGCAAAGTTCTTAACCTGAGGTACTATTTCTGGGTTAGCGGAGCCTGTAACCTGAAGCGTATGTAACCCGAGGTACCACTTGTACTTACAAGTATTCCAATAAACTGAATTTGTTTTTATGTACATTAAGTATGCTTTATTTTATTTTATTCATTTAAAAGGAAGATATTTAAATTCAAATACTTTGGGGGGAAAACTTCTGAGATATTTATACAGCAAGGGAAATTAACATGGCATACTTTTTTAGTTTTGGTTACTAAAATAAAATAATATCTATCTATCTATCTATCTATCTATCTATCTATCTTAAAATTGGATCCCAATCTGCTCAGGGTAGCGTTATTCTTTCAGAGAAATCTACCACTTTGTCTTGAGAACCCCAGTATTGAAACCAGGAGGCAACTTCTTAGCCTAGCTTGCAGAATTTAATAACCACCAGGCAAGCTCAGCAAACTGAGTGCTTTCCAAGGCACATGGTTCATCATAACAGGAACAAGCAGCAGCAAGCCTCTGCCTGTGTGCACCCTGGCACCCACAGCATAGCTGTGAAGACTGGACACTTTCATTTCAATTTTCAGCTAACATCAGTATAGCATTACATCTGTAACCAAATCGGTGGTTAACTTTAACTGTGGCTTGTTGAAACATGTCATTTTTATAATCAATGGTTTGAAGCTGGCTTATTTCAACCAACAGCAATAGGATTAAATATTAAAATTAATCACTATTTGTCCTTGACAAACAGTAGTTGTTTTAAAACAAAAATGAAAGTTTCCAATGTGCTTGCAACCACATCATGGAGTTGGGGGAGAACATTTGTGTCCAAGACTCCCTGCGCTTTGTAATAATCCAGTGGTTTGTCATAATGTATGAACCAGCTGAAAAATGAGACTGTATCATCTTTAAGCCAATTGTTTCCTGTGATAAAATTGTGGTGAAGAAAACTGATCTACAATCATGGCTCTTCTAAACACATGGTGATCAAATTCTGTTAAGAAATGCTTACAAACCTTGTAAGAAGGAACACATTCAGCAAAGAAATCAGAGTAACAAGTTGATACCATCCAGTCCCAAGCCACCAGAACACTCCTGCAGCTGCCTTCCCTAGATGAGAACAGACAATGCTGGCTGAATTGGGAATGTAAGATAATCACCAAAGACAATAGTTTTCAAACGTTTGGGTCTTCAGGGAAACTTTTCCAAATCAACATGTCTGCTGGGAATCCCTGTAAGTGGATGAGGATCCTGGGACATATTCTAAGCCACACCCTCCGTTCACACAGACACTGGCTAGGGCTGCAGAGCTCAGCCACTATCATCCATGAACCAAGATGGACCCAAGGAGACAGCCAACATGCCCCTGTAGCTTCACACTGCAGGGGATGTTCTGTAAAGTTGGGCAAGTAGCCTCTAGGGAAAGTTTGTCCACCATTACACATCTTTTCATTGAGGAGATCTAAGCTTCCCTGGAACACAGTTTGAAAACCACTGGCTTAGGAGGAGACCAAGTGGAAGCAACAGGTGAGTGCTGTAGAAGAATATTATAGGACATGCAGATTTTGGGTGTAAATGAGTATTGGCAAATGACCACACACATGCAACATTAAAATCGGTCCATAACACATCATATTACAATCTATATTCATAACCTGAAATGTCACACACACATGCACAAAGTCATGCAGCAGAGAGTAATGCAGTAGCAACTTAAGTCTGACAATTTACAAAAGAAAAGTGCATGCTGAAGCTGCATTCGTAATATGTACTTAGTGTGTCAATGAAACCCCTTGGGAATGAGATGAAGTAAGAAGCCCAAGGTTACATGGAATAGCAAGGAGTCAGTTTCTCTATTTCTGAGAGCAGCCCTCTGTTTTCACAACTAGCTAATTCTGCCTCGCAATACTGGAAGCAGGCACATCGTATAAGGTATATGCTGGGTTATTAATAAGCTGTGTACACAACCATGCTACAAATGTTAGCATTAAGCAAACAATGATGGAAAAACCAAAAGGATGCTTGAAACAAGTTCATTTCCTACATGAAAAGCGCTTCAACGTAGGCAACAATGTGAAAACTAGCCAGTCTACACAGTGGCGGAGGAGGGGGGGTGCGGGCCGCTCGGGTGTCATCACTGAGGGGTGTGACAAATGACAAAAATATGAGGGTGGTTTTTAAAAAAAACAACAACCCTGGGCTCACAAAACTTTTTAGTTCGGTCAACAAACATAATGAAATGCAAGTGGCACTAGGTGCCACACTGTGGGGGCCGGCAGTTACTGAGGGGCCTGCAGCGTGCGCCAGCCACACGTCTCTCCTGGGAGTGAAGTGGTGGCTTGGGTGCCTGCAGGTTCCGCGCTGCCTGAAACAACAGCGTGGGGCTTGCACCCGCCCACTGCCTCTCCCTCAGCCGCCCTACAGCTGAGGGGAAGGCAGCAGAGAGGCAGCACGCCTCCATGCAGCACGCCCAGCTCCTATAGGTGGCTCGCCCTGCCCCCGGCTGCAGGACGTGTGGGCCGCCCCCAGCACCCAAGCGGCTAGCTATGCCACTGAGTGTACACACAAGTTTCATCCTCTTTTCCAAATAAAAATGCTGGACATTCAGGAACTAAGAAGGCGAAGCTGTATAGGACGATGGAGAACACTTGTGACCTTTTGTTCATAGTAGGGCTAGTGCCTGCAGGAAATAGAAAGTGATTGGTTCCTCCTGATCTCCGGACTGTTTAGGTAGGTAGTTCTATACAGAGACTTCAGCCTATTGATTTGAAAGCCTTCTTTCCAGAGCCCATGCCTCAACAGGTATACTGATGGTGCAAACACACCCCATGGCACTTACAGGAAGTGCTTTTTGTGTAGGAAATGTTTCTGTGTAGCATTTGAAGCTGCCCTAAAGATCACAAATCCAGGTTAAATCAGCTGATCACATCTACCATAAGATGCCAGTATGCTTTAAAAGGCAGAATACTCATGCAAAAGCATAAACATACACACACAAAATCAATAGTAACCTGGAGACACAACAGCTAGCCAAAGGAGTGACATAATCTTCCTGGACACAAACCATCCTGCTGTTCCCATTCTTTGTAACATATGTAGCAAGAAGTAACCTAATATAACACAGATGAATATGAACACAGAAAATGGGGAGCATCTTCAATTAAAAACACTACCATTTTAAAACACTCTGGGATTGTTTTGTTTTTCATCCACATACAAACTATTTTATTAGCATTACAGCAGAGAAAAACTGGAACTAACATTATAAAGAAACATTGGATTTGATAATTCAACAGGCTCTGTTTTCCATGGGTTTACTACCATGTTATTTTTAATAAACAAGAATGGTTTTGAGAGAGAATACTACGTACTTCACTGAAAGAGTCATACTGCTAAGCATTTGTTATTAAAATAAAAAAGACTGTATTTATTAGGTGCAGATCTATTTTAGCTAGAAGATTTTGGGGGGACGACGACCAAAAACTCTCTTCTTTAAGATTATTGTTCCTCATCTGTAACATTCCATTTTAGCACAATAGCACAAGCTATTGTATTCTGCCTTCCTAACAGTTCTGCAACATATGTAGAATGAGGATTATCTGCTCCAACCTTCCTTCATGACAGGGGTCAACCTAAACTCATAGCAAGAGCTGATAAGAGGTGTTGGCTGACACAAGCAAGTCACTCTAATCTACTTTGCATGAAAGCTCTAAAAACAACAACAGCGAGAGCAATTAACAATGAAGAGATTGTGATGATGAGAGCAAAAGAAATCAAAATACGAAAACAAAATGGTGCAAGTCAACCTGTGTAAGAAAAGATGTGCCAAATGGTCCTTGCTACTCTTTTAGACCTTGAGGATTGCATGTGGGCTGTTGTGTGTGTTTCAAGGTGTTTCTTCCCCTTACAGTCATCACCTGTTGGTTGTGGTAACAATCAATTAATATAACACATTCAAGAAGACAGTGGTGTGCCAGATATGTCACAGAAATTTATTTTCCCCAGATTCCTCCCCCAGAATTTCGGTGTGTTTCTGCCTCTTGTCTATAGAAATGGGAGCAGGCAGCAATGCAGTGGGGGAGAGGCAGGCATGCCACAACCTCTGTGGTCTGTATCACTTGACACATTCATGCTGCAGATTTGCCACCCAACCTTTAGTGACAAATAAAATTAAATCCCATAGACAGTTGCATCTATAAAGACAACTGTTAAAATGCAATTTATAATAAAGCATTTAGAGAGGTAATGGAGCAAACAACTGGAACTTTCTGCAAGTGCAGGATGAATCATGGCCAAGATACATTGCTTTTCCAGCTTCCACAAAATTACGGAATATCCCTGGAAAAAGTCAGAATTATTAACAGGGCTGTTATGACAAAATGGGAATGCCACCATGTATGCCACTTAGAGGAAAGGTGGGATTTAAATGCAACAATAAATAAAATAACACTTTTTCAAAATCTGTCAAACTTACACATTGATTCTCCATTCATACCCAGGTGGCCATCTTCCCTGAGAAATTCTTTTACATTCATGCTTCCACAGTAGCTAGAGTGAGCTGCAGCACAAGAAAAACAAATAATTAAGAAGAACAAAGATTTTCACAGGCTACAAAAACAGAAAATACAACCCAGAAAGGTCCAACAGCAGGCACGATGTGTCCACTGCAATCTTTTGATTTCTTTGCACAGCATCTTTCTCAGATAAACTGCAATGTGACATGGAAAGTCACCTTATTTACAAAAGCAGCTCACCACCCCACACCCAGAAAGGAGAAAAAGGGGAGAGCACAGGTATCTTTGGAGTAGTGTGGTGAAGAAATACAAACATAAAGACCCTCAGGGTGTGCCTATTTTAAGGCCAGCTGTTCTTTGGATTGTACCCATATATACAGTACCCCAGTTTGCACATAGCTGACAGCAAATAAATGATTCTCTTTTGTTAAAAGCTAGTTGAGGTCCTAAGAAACTCAACCCAGAAAATGATGTTTAAGTTGAACTAGCTAGAATGAGCTATGCTCCATCTTAGGTTGTTTTTTTTTGCGGGGGGGCGGGTTGCTCATGAATTCTGCTGGTCTGCATTTCTAAGGCTATTTATATTCCTGGGTGATTGTTGCTTGCTAATATTTGTCCTGCTTAGAAGCCTTCTAAAGAAGACCAGGCCTGCTGTTTCTGACATTTTAAACACACTCTCTTTTCACTTCTGGAGACCAAAGGACACCAGAAAAATATTTTAAAATACTTTAATATGCTTTGATTTCCTGCAGGAAACAAATCGTGAAAGAGAAACCAAGTACATCTTGATGAGAAAGGCCATTACAAGACGACACCAGGATCCAAAGAGGTCACCAAGGGCTCAGCCCCATATGGTGGAATTTGCAGATCAGAATGTCATGTAACACAGTACCAAAAACAGGTTTGCCATGGTGCTTGAGAAACATAACTCCAAAGCGCTCTTGGGCATTAGATGCATAGTTCTTTGTATCCAGGGCCAATATTGCAAGCACAATATTATGCAATGGAAGTGTGGGTTTGCTACAGAAGCTGCAGACCATCCCAGCTCCCTTGGGGACAGACTGGTATGATATATGTAGATGAAAACACACTTGTCACATCCACACATTACATTTCTGGGCATTCATGTAAAAATGTTTAATGGGACTATCTTAAAAACGCAAATGAGAAGCAGTAGTTGGCCAATGACAGCCAGGAGTTACACTTCTCTGGCGGAATATGAAATACACCTGACCAAAGCAAGCATGTTTGTTGTTAAATACACTGTATATAAACACTAAAGAAAGAAGAAAAACCCCAGCACTTAAAGACTGGGACAGTGTGATTTTTATCTATAATGTAATGCAATTTAAATAATCTACTTTCATAATCAAGGTTAAGCTTTCATTCAAAACCCACTATTCATGCCTTTTCAAGAAAGGAAGAAAAAAGGAGAACCTGCACCAGTGCCTTGTGCCTGCATACCGATGCTTCTAAGAGAATATATATATATATAAGGCAGGCAACTTAAAGCAAGAAAGAAGCCAGGTCACCAAAGAGGACATAATAAAGATGCAGAATGAAAGACATGAAGAAGCATACACCCACTAAGGCAGCAGAGGGGTTCAGAATTTGTTTTTTAAGTGTGTGGCACGGATGGACAAAGAAAAAGATAAGCTAAAAAACGAAATACCTTTACAGTCATAGCCCAGCTTCAGCAAGATCATTTGAAATAACTGCACTATGAGTGATGAAAAAGATGTTGTGGTATACTTGGCTGCTCGCAGAATCTGATTTGTGTAGAAAGGGAGGCCCCCTATTAAAAGAGCATCAGTAGCATGTTAGTTGCTTCCATTTCTCTACTGACTAACACAGTGAAAATACAAAGCTAAACCACGTAGGTGCAGTATGGTTATTTCTTACTTTCCAAAATATGAGAAGTCACCCCATGGCAACAGTCATTTTTATCCTTCATTCATTCAAGCACATGGAGAATAAGTGGGGTTAAAAGACAACAACCAAGTTACCGAAAAACACTGTTAAGTACCAGTCCATGTAACTAACAACTTCAGAAAAATATGTAGCACAATGTTTCCTGCATTCCTTGCTTTGCAAATTTACTAGCCAAAAGTTGGCAGATGAGCAAAACTGGTTAGCGCAAAATGTGTTCTTCTTCAGCATTCAAATAATTGCACGGAAAGAATGAGCCGCTCTCAACACTAATTTCCATGGGATACATTCAGACAAGCAGAATGCAGAACTCCTCAGAAGCAAAGACAATCAATACTACTGAGAGATTGTAATCCTACAGTTTCATAGAGGCTGCTACTAAGTAAAGAAACCCGAATGAGATGATGGATCATTCTGGAAAATAAGACAGAGGTAAAGAATGATGTGTTAGATACAGTTGCTCTGGGAAAGTAGTTCTGGAGATTGGTTTCTCACTTTCAAGTGCCCAAAGTTTCCTCCTTTTAATTCTTCCTCATTTAAGAATGTAACCACGCTCTAGTAACTCTGCCTCCTACTTCAGATGCCTATTGGCACAGCTTATGGAAAGAACATCAGTTCTATGGAGTTTTTCTGAACAAAAATGTGAACAGATGCCTTCCTCACAATGAAGATATGCAATGTGAGATTACCATACGCATGAGGGTTGGATAAACCTGTTCATCAAGAGAGCCTACCAAGTTCGGATGAAGCAACCAATTCCTACCATGCTGGTGTTTCTATGCTAGAAACGGCTTGGGTTTCCCTGTTTTTGATTAGAAAGAATGTCATGATCTTCAAAAAAGAAACAGCAGCACACAAGAACTTCCTTTGTACCAGAAGCAGTTGCAGACAGATTGCCATGGGAACGTTCTATTAAATCAAAAATTCCCCAACCTTTAGGACTAGAATCCTAAACCAATGTAACTCAACACATTTTTCACACAGTAAGATATCATTCATGCACCATTTCTCAACAGTGGTAAACCAACAGAATGAACACCAACATTACTTACTAGACTTGTGTTTTTGGCTTCGATCCCTGGAGTAAATTCTTGAGGATGGCATGCGAGCAGCCGAGTATGCTGTGAGGACCTCCTTCCGCTCAGAAAGCATGCTGCAGTCACTGCAGGTATACCCATTGCTCAGTGTTGTCTGGTTCTCAGCTGTTGCTAAGTCACCATTGCCCTGAACCACTGTAGTGTCTCCACCTGTTGAATGGCAATAAATGATCTAACAATCCAAATCCAGTGAATTTGGGAGAGAAGAAATTATAATGAAAAAGACTGCCTGGTTACCTTTGAGATCACCATCATCATCAAGACCTGAAAAGTAAAGGGACGCTTTGTTTAAATTCAAGGAGGTGCACTATTTCTAAGTCAACGTTAACTGCTATACCAAAAGAAATTCTCCTGCTAATTCTAGAACAATAAACAAGAAGCATAGTGGAAACTTTACTATGTACAAGGGAATATCTTTTTTTATTAAGAACAACCATTTATGTTATCTACCAAACAGGGTTACATTTCCAGGCGGAAATGTAAAGCAACAAAAAACTGTCTTTTATTACCCGTGTTGCTACTGGGGAAGCTAGATAATTGGAAGCACACAATGTTTCTGTTGCTTGGTTACCACTTGCTCTAGCTGTAGCTCACTACATAGTAGTAAAACAAGGCGGTTAATGCCAAAATTAACACTTAAAAATGCGCTACTAGTAGTTAACACAGGTTTCTTCAACCTGACGTAAGCGGAGGCCTACAACTAGGCTAGTTAAATAGCATATGGCCTACAACTACGACAGCACCTTTCTCTGCTCACACAGGATCAAGATCTTCTCTGACAGTAGCGCTGCTCATTTGGCGCCCAGTCCTGCAATCCTTACACCAAAGTAAGTGGGAAATTGGCCTGAACAAGGTCAGACCTCAAGTCAGAAACGATTATTAGGAAGGAGGGAGGAAAGCTTTATACACATTATGTTCCTCATCTGTCTCCCCAGGTACAGTAGCCCCACAGATGCTCTTTTACACAGACTTTCCAAATAAAAGATAATTTATCAAGGTGGACTAAGGCTTTGTCTCAAATCTGTCCTTGAAGTTAATTTACAGTGACATAGCAGCACCTTACTCCACTTGGAAATTAATGCACTTGCTCTACAATTCTAGCAATCCCCACACAGCATGCCTCCTTGAGAGGAAACAGGATATAAGCTGCTTTAAAAGAGTCATCTGTCCCTCTGTTTCCCCTTTCTCTAGTTTCTCAGGCACCTGGTCATTAAAAAAGACATTAGTGAATCTTCCACAATTCTCCTAGTGTTTTACATTCAGAACCTCTGTTTACCTTGCTATATCAAGCAGAAAGCAGCCGGACTGCAATGCATATTCTATGTATTTTGAAATGTACTGCTATAAAAATACTTCCATCTCAAAGGGTTTTTTTAATTTACAAAATCCCTGAACAATTTACAGATGGAAGCAAAACCAACACTGTAAGAATGACAAGCCATCTTGAATGAAATCATATCAGTAACTAAACTGGTTTTATATATGTCCAAAATTCAAATCGTAACATGGGGCATTGGCACTATAGGGTGGTGCTGTGGGTTAAACCACAGAGCCTAGGGCTTGCCGATCAGAAGGTCGGTGGTTCGAATCCCCGCGACGGGGTGAGCTCCTGTTGCTCAGTCCCTGCTCCTGCCAACCTAGCAGTTCAAAAGCACGTCAAAGTGCAAGTAGATAAATAGGTACCGCTCCGACGGGAAGGTAAACGGCGTTTCTGTGTACTGCTCTGGTTCTCCAGAAGCGGCTTAGTCATGCTGGCCACATGACCCGGAAGCTGTACGCTGGCTCCCTCGGCCAATAAAGTGAGATGAGCGCCGCAACCCCAGAGTCGGTCACAACTGGACCTAATGGTCAGGGGTCCCTTTACCCAGCAGGCATTGCCTCCTCCACCCTCCCATCAAAAGGAGTGCCACCTGAGTGCAACTTTTCACAGGGGAAGTCAATGACAGAGTTTATATTTGAAACACACACACTTTACAGGACCAAATTTACTTTTCAATACAGAATCCACAATTCCTTGTTTAATAACTCTCAGAATCTTCAGCCATCATGTATTTCTGCTGAAAGAATCGAAGTGTGGGTTTTGTTGTAGACATATTCACAACTCTGAAGGTGATAGTAAGCCTTCATGCTCCACACTCTGTGAAAGTTCATTCTCAAAATACTAAGTTGGACCCAGAGAGATCCTTTAAGTACAAATTCACTTGCATTTGGTTAGCAGAATTTAGAGCCATAGATCCACATAGGAAGCTGCCATATTAAGTTGAAATAGTGGTCCATCTAGCTCAGTATTGTCTCTACACTGATTTATAGTAGACCTCCAGGATTTTTGAGCAATCTTTTGCAGCCTTGCCTGGAGGTGCCAGGGACTGAACCTCAACTTTTTGCAAACAACAAAGCATGTGTGTTGTTGAGCTATGGCTTCTCCCTCTGTTTTAATCACAAAACTGCTTCTGGAATTCTTCCTATATACATATATATAAAGTTTTGAAATGTAGTACAGTTGCTGCTATTTAAAAGACAAAATCCAAATCCTCCTTGGGCATCAAGGATCCTAGTTGTGCCACCAAACAGAACGTAGCCTAAATATGTAACCATTTCTTTCTTACTCTGCCTTAGTGCGTATAATGCAGCTTGCCCTTTGAACTAGAACTGACACCACAGATAACAGTATACATGCTAAATATACAGTATGTGTATTGTAGAACATTATTACCTACCCCAAAAATGGTCAACAGCTGTCTGCTCCTGTATTGAAGACTCATCCAATATGGTTGACATTAAAGATCCATCACTCGCGTGGCTACTGAAACTACTGTGGCTAAAACTGGAAGAGCTGGGCACACTTTTTCTTGGGGTATGTCTTACAGAGCCAGACTGTTTCACCACACTTTTACGCTGCTTTACAAACCTTAAAGAAAAAGAAATGTCAAAGCATACATGTGCAACATTCACCAACAGTTCAGGCATACTAAGAATCTGTAACACAAGGCAAAAGAAAAGGGGCATAATAATCCAGCAGGTCTTCTGAAGCCATGTCAGTGTTACTCTGGCTATAGCAACAAAAAAAGGAAGCAGTTTTCCTTTCCCCTTAAGCTAGGAAGACATCTGAAGGCAGCTCTGTATCAGGAAGTTTTTAATGTTTGATGTTTTATTATGTTTTTATATGCGTTGGAAGCTACCCAGAATGGCTGGGGCAACCCAGCCAGATGGGTGGGGTATAAATAATAATTTTGTTGTTGGGAAACATTACTCCAATGTTAAAACCGTCATAGAGCAGATAGTGGCACAATTCAAATACACCAGTCTACTGTCTATGCTAACCACAGGGTCTATACAATGTGGAAACACAGATTGTAATCTACACAATGAGGCAAAGTGCAGTTTATTTCAGAGTTGTTTGCTGGTTCTTTGTTTTCTTTCTGTTAAGAATTCCTAGCTTAGTCGAAATGACAGAGAAATTAGGACACCACAATCATGGCTTCACAAGGTGTCTGAACTGTGTTGATGTGTGAAAACTGAACTTCCAAGGTAGTTTATGATAACAATAAATCTCTTCCTGAGAATTGCTAACCTATAGGTGCCCATGAGGAAAGAAGATCCATCTTGTCACAAATTTTGTAGCATACACAGGAAAACGCTTTCATTCTGCTTCCAAGCATCTTTGAAAGCATATGCATTGTGAAAATATCAAGCCAGCCCCTCCCAGAGTTTCAGATGACTCATGAGAGGAGGAGGAGGCCAGTCTATGACTTTGCACAATAATCACAAGCAGTGACAAACACTGCTTCTGCTTCTGGACAACTCTGGTACCTGGTGTAACATCACATTCTTTTTTCCAAAGGACTCATGGGAGGAGAGAAGGGTCACAACTATACATAATGGTTGCATACCAAAGCTGTTCCAAATTTGTGTATCTCTGTTTAAGCCAGCCCTGTTCTATAGACCAGTGTTTCCCAACCAGTGTTCCGCGGCACACGAGTGTGCCGTGAGACGTTGCCTCGTGTGCCGCGAGATGCCTGGAGGGAGGCGGGCGAGTCGGGCGGCGAGAGGCGGGGCGGCGGCGGCGAGGAGAGGCCGCGCCTCCTGCTGCTGCCTGGCGCTCCTCCTCGCAGCCGGCAGCGCTGCCTGGGCGCCTCCGCGCGACTCTGCCTCGCTGGGTTTGGTCTCCCAGCAGAGACGGGTCACACGCGCCCCTCCCTCCCTCCCTCAGCCTGCGCGGAGGGAGAGCCAGAGAGAGGCATCGCTCCTGCGCGGCGGGAGAGGGAGCAGCCGGAGCGATGCCCCAAACGAACGCATGGGACCGGAGGGGAAATCCTCTCCGAGGCGGATTGAGCGCAGCTGAGAGAAGCCTTTCGAGGAGCTGCCGTGTCCCCTGGAAACCCCCTTCCCAGCTCTGCCTCAGCCGCCGCCGCCTCAGTTGCCGCCGTCCCTCAGTCCCTCGCTCTGCTGCCTCCTCCCACCCCCAAAGCTTGGAGGTTCCCCAGCAAGGGGGAGGGAAAAAACTTTCACTTTTGTGCGTCCCTCCCGGCGTGACGCTGCGCGCTGACGTCACGGGGCGGGGCTTTAATGGTGGTGTGCCGCGATATTTTTTTTCAGTAAACAGGTGTGCCGTTGCCCAAAAACGTTTGGGAAACACTGCTATAGACTACACAAAAAATATGCAGAAGTCCTTTTTTAAACCACTGATCCTAAACTTGGAAACAAGTCCAATTAAAATTAAATAGCTGTAGCTTCTAAATATAGGAGTATAATCTAGGCAAAGTTAACCCTTTAAAGTCCCACTTTTAATGCCTGAAGTAAGTAAAAGTCGGCATTTCTCCCATTTTAAATCAATTGCACTTTTATTTTTTTTGACTGACTATGCCAATTTTATTTTATTTTTAGCACTAGAAATGGTCACATCGTAAACAAAACAATACGCGCATATACATTCTGAATCCTCTGTTACTGTAATGTTATTTCCAAGAAACAAGGTCCATGAACTTTGGAGATTAAATAAGCATCCTTTGGAATGCAGATTAATAGTGGGGTTTCTTATAGGAAGCCCCACTGAGTAACATGTGACTTATGTTGTCCTACTTGGAAGCAACTCAGAAGGGACTACTTTAAAATAAAGATGCAGTAACAGGGTTTAAAGAGTGCCACTCACAAACCATTTCTTTGGGATTAACCCAATGAACAGTTCATACATTTTCTACAGGGGATAGGGTGGCTGTGCAGGCAATGTGTACATGTGAAATGGTTCTTACTTAAGTCCCATTGAAGTCAGAAGGAACTGTATTACATGCCATTTGGCGACTTTTGAGTTCTCATAAGAAACCAAGATAATCCATAATCCTAAAATGTTTTTCTTGTGAATATTACCTCCATCCATCGAGTATCTAGTATGATCATATTTGTGATCAGCCAGAATCACAGATAGAATAAACAATTTAAATCATGGTAAGGGAGGGGTACACAAAAGATATTCCAGCTAATGACTGAAAAAGGAACAAGATTAGAATAACCTGAATGATACTGCATAGTTTTCTTTGATGAGGACCTCCAATGAGAAACTCCCCCCCACCCCCAAAAAATGCAATGTTAACCACACTGAGTGCACAATGCAAAACAAGACAAAATGATTACTAGAATTTCCAGTTACAGAGTTAATCAATCCATTTGAATAGTCCAGAAATGTAACCAGTCACTGGTCACCAGAGAAGCATCTCCTGTGGTTGACAGGTCTGAAAATAATGCAGCCATGTGGACTACATATATAGCTGTCTTCAAGATCTACTTGCCTCTTTTATTTTAGCTGGGGACACAGAACACTGAGCTTACATTAATGCTTCACAGAATGACCAGGTACAAAGGAGGATCTTGCACAGAGGGGGGAAGTTTGGCAAGAGCAGCTTGTTAAAGATGTGAGAAAAGCTGCCCCACTCTTAAGATTATGCAACTATTAAAAGTATAGAAGCTCCATCCTCAACTAACCAGTACTTTTGAGTTTTTCGTACAAACCACACTCTATTTGCTGCTGCTACTTTTCTTGGACTCAAGAGTCACAAAAGCATGTGCTAAAAGGTTAGGGAAGAAAACCTAACTCAACTGGAGGCTACAATAGTAACTAGTACCATTTTTAAACAAATATTCTTTTAAAGAAATTCTACAGTACAACAGAGGTATTTGCAAAACTGAAGCATCACCTTCAGTTCTCCAGGAGAAGATGCCTAACTTTGGGGGGAGTAGTACTCCTCTTTTTGCCCACTGAAAACCCAAGGGAGAGTCAAAGTTTCATGCAAACATTTTAAAGAAAAACTAGTAACTATCATGATTCCCAATGCAATATAGAAATACAAAACAAAAATCACAGCATGCAGTTGAACCCCTTAAAATTTAATAGAATGGAAGCAGTAAGAAGGTAACTTACATGAAGTACCTATTAAAAGAAATGCTTACTTAGTTGACTGGTCTGCAAATGCCTTTTTCCCACCATAGGAGCCGCTGCCATCACCAAAGATGCCTTCATTGTGTGAATCCTCAGGTGTGTTATATGTTACAGCAGACAAACGTAAGCTGCGCCTTGACATTCTTGGGGAGTCAAACACAGGGTCCAGTTTGTGTTCAGTCTCAAAATCTAGAGCAGTTGATGAGTAGCTTGAACTATAAAGGAAAGACAGAAAAAGATTTTGGTATATATGTTGAAGGCAGCAGGCAGCTTCTCAACAGAGATGAGGAGACAGGAGTATAATTAACTGCTGTTGAGCAATCCATACTGATTGCTGTTAATGCTTCCAAGTAAAAATCAAGGCACTTAAATCTTTGAATCTCTTTGGGTCTTACTCATCTGAGAGTCCCCGTTTCTCCTTGTGCAAACCCACCATTTTATTGAAGATCATTGGGTTCAACGCTACTTCCCATCATGCAGAGAGATCAGAACATTGGAAAGGAACACCATCCTTTTCAAGGCTTTGAAATCTACCTCTTTCTTAATCTCAAGGGGGAAATATGAGGCCCACTTGCTTATGAAGATGTTCAGGATGTGAGTTGTTGCAAAATAATCCATTTTAATCATCTGCTGTTCTACAGGATTGGACATTAAACAAAATAATGTCCAATTATTTACTTATTGCTATGGAGTGAGCGTGTATCTTTTTATCACTTTAACTAATTTCTCAGAGTAGCCTCAAAAGGTTTTAAATATTTTAAATGAATGAATAAATATTCCAGTGCTTCAGGAAAGATAGTTTTGAAGCCTAGAGTAAAGGTGGGGAATCTCAGGCCTCTCTATTTGGCCCTCGTCACTCTCCCCAGGGTTGTAACTTCTCCCACAGACCATAACTTCATTGAGTGCTTTTGCTTTGCTGGAATGTGTCCTTGAAACTGTGATGATGCTTCTTGCTTGCCTGGGAGAACAGAGGTATGTATGTTTATATAAACCTCTGGTTTTTGAATGGGTGGACTGTAACCTCTTACACAAAGAAAGGGTCACATCTCCTGTTCTGCCACTTTTGTTTCTGGCGCTGCCCATCACTGGTATGCACTCCCTGGAATGCTGCCAAGAAGAAAATGTGGCCCTCTGGTTCCAAAAAGGTTTTGTGTTTTTATCATCACTGTTAAAGTTTGAATTTGTCTGAGGATTCAGTTTGGGTAGTTTTACCTGCTTTCAAATATGTCCTATCTTGAAGCCTAAAAGGCGTAGCAGCTTGGCAAACATGGCCAGAAACTAAGTTTACAAGCAGAACTGTGACACAAACTTTGGAGTAGACGAGGCAGGTGCTCTCCACAAAGGATCACCTATTGGTCATCCCTATGCTACTTTCTTCCTGCAGCATACAGCTTCACTTTTGCACGTAAAACATCATCCCATGTGTTTCCCTGCCCAATACCACCACTACTACTACTATCAAGTGGCAGGATACATTGAAGTCATCATTATGAAAGAGTGGGGGTGACTGACATGGTGACTCTCCCCATGACTGAAATGCAATCTACTGTACTTGCTTTGGAAACTGCAATTAGTGCAGAATGCTGCAGCACAGTTGCTGACAGGAGTGAGACCTCGTCAGCATATAATGCATCTGCTCAGATATCCGCATGGGAACCCAATTTGTCAAATGACCGAGTTCAAGGTATTACTGTTAGTATATCAAGTCCATAACAGCTTGGGACCAGTTTAATTGTGGATTGCCTTACCCCATAAGTATCCATTCACTCCAACCTACAGAACTGGCACTGTTACAGGTGCCATACAACACTTGTTCCACACTTGTAAGAATGTGATCTTTTAGTGTGGCAGCACCATCTATTGATATCAGACAGGCATCTTTGCAGTACTCAGCACCCGCTTTTGGTTTATTATATTATGATTGTTTTTAAATACCTGTTTTCATTTGTTAATTCTAATGCTTTTTTTTGTAAACAACTTAGAGGTTTTATTATTACAATCAAGCAATGTGGTGAACTAATAATAATAATAATTTTAAAATGGTGATACATTTTTCAAGGGCCAGCACAGTGCCTGTAGTAACAAGTGGTCTGTCCTTATATCCAGGGTGCCATGTTAGTCTGCTGTAGCAAAAACAAAGTTGTTAAATGCACCCATGAAAATATAAGTTATTTTAGGGGAAACTAATTTAGGATTACATTTTTAAAAGCAAAACAATGGTATGAAGAGACTCCCTTTTCATGGAGAAAAAAATGTAATGCCACATTAAACCAAATGTCAGTGAAGTGGAACTAACGCTGAAGAGAAAGCAGCCTTGAGCGTTGTGTGGTTAGTGTCAGAGGGAGGAAAAAAACAGAATTCTGGCTTGAGAATCTCATTGCTAAAAGTTATTAAACTGAAACTGTTGCAGGCCAAAAATGGCTTATCTTCTGAGTTACACCAATAAAACTCAGAGACAAAAACATGCACAGCTTCAGTTTTAAAAGCAGGAAAGCCAGGAGACTGCAACCATAACAGAAGATTGGGTTCAATCATTTATGGGGAAGAATGGGGTAGCTCAGCGGCAAAACATGTGCTTTGCAAACAAAATGTTTCAATCCTAATAAGTATGTCCAGGTAGGGCTGAGAAAGACCCTTGTCTGAAACCCTAGAGAGCTGCTGCCAATCAATGTGTATTACTGAGTCAGACCATTGGTTCACCTAGCTTGGTATAAAGCAGCTTCCCAGGGTCCAAGTTTTATACTCTAGACTTTTAATTGCATATATAAACATATTGCTCCATTAATTCTGCAGTTTCACACATAGGGAAAAACTGCATATAGTCTTCCCTTCCACTGGCATGGAAGGGAACATTCCAGCACATGGGCAGAGGAGAGTCTAAATTATTTGCTAATCATTTTAAGATTAACCACCACAAAGGAGAATTATCTCCAGCTTGTCTAGAAATAATCAGGGGTCTGCAGGGATTGAGTGTGGAGTGCCACATTCAATCATGTGTGTCGAATCCCTACCCCCACCCACTGTCTGAAGTGGGACAGCCCAGACACAGGTTTGCTGTCTGAGAGACAACTAGGCCATGCACAACAGCCCAAATCGTATTGGGCCTCAGATAAGCTGGACCAGGGTTGCTTAAGATGCATTAAAAGCATGTTCTACGATAACTGACAGATGGGGAAGTTCAAGCCCAGGAGCCGAAAGCAGGCCTCCAGGTCTCTAGCTGGCCTTTGAAACTCTCCCCAGGTTGCACCCTTCACAGGCCCTGTTTCCAAGCCTGAGTGTTCTTTGAATGGGTCCTTGAACTCTGATCATACCTCTTGCTTGTCTGAATAAAGGACAGAGATGGATGCATGTAAAATTTACAGGATAACCAGCTTCATATAACCAGCATGCTTTAGTCTAATTAATGCATGAAGGGTTTAATACCATAGAGTAAGCTGTCCTGCCAAGCTTAGCTATGTTACTTCCCCTTACCCTGGGCAGAAATAGGTAAACAACACTTTGTTCCCTGCTTCCCAGTCTACTTGAGGACTCAGCATGTGAGGAGGTCTGAGCTGGTTCCTCCAGCTCAGCTGCACTACTCTCAGCAACCTCTTGTGTTCCTATACAAATATAGTTTAGTAATGTTTTACCGCTTTGTAACTAAGCTACTTTTTACTGCCTCTGCAACTTTTCTAACTGACGTATGGAAGAACACATTATTTATTATTACCCATAGATCTTAGGGCAGGCTCCTGAGACCTTTGGTGAGTTTGTAAGTAAACCAATTTAAGTTACCAAATGTGTGTTCTATGCTGGGAAACTTCGGAAGGAACTTTTAAATGGGACAGTTTTGGAACTCACCCAGAATAGCATATTTTAAAGGTTTTACATCCTACATTTTCACACTTTATTTGCCTCATATTTTATGAATTTATATCTGCTGGTTTTCTCTCACCAAAGAGTACTTGCCCCAAATTTGAATCTTGGCATTCCGGAATTCTCTTCCTTTTATATCTATTTTTCTTGAACCAATAACATTTATATTCATTCTACCTCCCACTTTTGCCTCTGGCCTCACAGGCATGTGGCCCTCAGAAGGTTGCCCAAAATGGAATGTGGCTCTTGGGCTGAAAAAGATTGCTTGTTCCTGTTGTAACTTCATTTAGTACCTGGCAGCTCACAATTTTGCTTTTTAAGGGAGTGATGGCAATAGTCTATTTAAACACTCCCCACAAGCTACTATTGGCACTTGTTATTATACGGCTGTTTTTATTCTACTTCTGCAAGTGATGGACTACAGGCACACTATTCAAATGAAGTACCAGGCGCTACAGACAGCTGCCACTAGCCCCAATTTGTTTTCACTTGGCAAACACCCCTATTTGTTTAATAGCATATTTGTGAGGGCTGCTCACAAATGCAGATTGTTTTTCAGGTCTTATTACTCTAGCTAGTAGCAGCATAAATGGTGTCCTACAAACAAGAAAATTGCTCAAACATTAACAGTGCAAGAAAAACAGTTGTGAGTTGTAAATTTCAGAGATGGAAATAAATCCACAAAAGTAGCCAGCCCCATCTACTTCTCACACATGCTATGTTGGTGGCACAGTGGAGGCTGGAAAGGGGGAAGGATACAACCCCTTTCCAGGTAAAGCAAACTTCTTACCTGGTAGCCTGGAGGTAACTGACCACCAGCAACCAAACAAGTAGCTATTTACAAGGCTAGTATGAGAAAAAGAGCTACAAAATACACCAGTTTATAAGCTCCACATATTTTTCATGGTGACTTACTTGGGGCATAACCATTATTCAGTAATACTCAAACTTGATCTACTATTTTCCCTTTTCATCTAGGTCTGGGCAACCTGACAAATCTCTGACAATACTATCTTCCTAACAGTTACCCCTGCCCATATTAATACTGCAGGATTAAACATTAAAAGTTTATTGCAAAACTTAGCAATAAAAGCACAATTACGAGTAATAGTAAATTTATACCTTTGTACTTACTCTGCAAAACTGACAAGGATTCCTCATTGCAGGATGGAACTATATTGTTATCTACACACACACCCTGCCATGTAATACCCCCCACCCTGCATTTGCAAGCTAAAACAATGGTATTTGGGTGTGGTTCCCAAATACTTTATTTACAGCTACTGCCAAATCCTGAGTCACTGTCTTAGTCACCAGTGGTGCTGGATTAGAATCTACTGTAAAAACCTAAAACTGCTACACGTAGCTATAAACAGGAAAGTCAGTGAGATTTATGATCAAATGCCAGGTTTCTTTCCTTGATTTAAATCTTGCCATGAAACCACAACATACAAAGAAACCAGGTTCTATAGAAGGCAGCTTCTCTATAAGGAAAAAGATTCTCACCTGAGTGCATAAGTATAGCCAGTGTTCTCTGGCACGCATTGGGGAGGGGTATACGTGTGAAGACGTGAAAAATCCATGGTCACTGTTTCAAATCATACTGCAAAAAGTTGAAAACACAGTGCTATATAACAGTTTAAAAGACAGAAAAAAGAGCTCTTGCTTGGTTCAGCCGGTACTTTAGAATACTGCAAATAATGCTTTGGCAGAGGAGGAAAAAAGCCACTGGTATCAGAAGTAGTGCGCATTTTTAATGTGGCTGCTAATGTTAGATATCCCTTATCAAAAGTCACATGAACCCTAAGCACTTCCTCTTCTGGACAGCTTTTTCAAAAGTCTAAGGCATGCTCTCTTCTGTTTACAAAGTTCTCTTAAATGGTGTAACAAAAAGCTAAACCCTGTCCATACCTACAGTGCTGCTTATAGTATACTTGACAGATACTATTAAAGTGCACTTTGCTGAAAAAAGCCGAGTTCACAACTCCCACAATAGTATTTTTTTCCATTGATACTAAACTAAAGGTTTTCTAGGTATTGAGAACTGCACCAATCAAAACAGTTAAGTAAACAAAAAGTGATGTGTTTCATGTAACAACACATTTTTCTTTTAACATTTCATTTGTGCCACTGGAATGGAAAGAGGGAGTCTGGCTCGGCTTGTGCTTTGAAAGAGACAGCCCTGTTTAGCTGGGATTGATTCAACTAATCACCTCGAAGAGAGCAAAGGCGCTTATGTACACACCCTAAAGGCTGATCCAAAATGCAATCACAAATCTAGTGCTAGATCTATATTCCTGGAACTTGTTTTAGCTCAGGCATTTTAAGGGAGTCACTTTGAAATGTTTAGACTGTGATCTAAAGAGCCACACAGCTAGTTTTGCTCATCCAAAGGGCCTTTGGGTGTGTGTTTTTTCAAGAAGCAGTACCGAATGCAAGCTACTTTTAAAATTAAGCATTTGTAAAGTATTTTTGTATGGTTTGGGGAAAAAATCCCACACAGCTCACTGAAGGTCTTGGATGGGCCTGCAGTAGCTCTTTGGATTCCAGTCTTATTCAAAGCATTCTTATCCCACGCTTCAGCAGAAAATGTTTCAGAGTAGTTTCCAGATCAACTAAAAAAAGAAAGAAAAACTCCAGCCTTGCCTTCAGGCTTATAGTGTAAAAGACTAAAGGAAAAAGAAATGGGTAGGGAGGAGGGGGGAAGCTAACTCAGGGACAATTTCTTAAAGTTACAATTCCAGCTGGGGTGGAAACAGTTCAGGTGGCCTGATGGAATAATGGAATGAGGAATGATGAAATGGGGAAACCCAGCAAGATGGGCAGGATATAAATAATAAATCATTATTAAAATTATTATAATAACCCTTGCTGAGTGACAGGTGATGATGATGATGAAGAGCCAAAAGCAACCGGTCTCCCTGCAGAGCTGATGGAACAACTCTGCTTTCCCTTCTCTAATTCTGCTGCAGCCTGAAAGCAGGATTTTTGAGTTTTCAGTCTTTTACGATGAGTATAAAAACTGAATGGATATTAGCTGAAGGGCTACTAGACTGAAAGTGAAGGAAACACTAAAATTTTAAACAAAACCACAATTTAAGGTTGCAAAATGCCTAGATTTATGGAGCAGTTCAAGTAATAGAAGCATGAAGAAATGTTCTTTCATAAGAACACAACACAAAACATGGAGCAATATTAGCTGTAAAGGCTGGTATTTTTAGACTTACTGGGCAAAAGGGTGCCTTCAAGGCTGATATAAACTAATTCACCCTGTTTTAAGATCACATCAGGCGCACAAACACTGTTCATCTGTGCTCTTATGTGCATGCTAGACACAAACCAGGGATTCTATTCTGACTGCTTACATCATGCTAAGTGTCAACAATCATCATCAGTACAGGACTAGGAGGAGGGAGAGGACGAACATGCAAGAACCAAAGCCAACCCACCTCTCCCATGGTGAGCCTTAAGAAGAAGTGATGTGCTGCCCTCAAAGGGTTGTATCCAATGCTAGTCCTACCAAGAACAAACCCTCAGAAATGCATGAGCATGACTAATATAGTCCCATTCATTTAAAAAGGTCAACATTGAGTATGAAGTATTCAGCTAAAACTCATAGTGACTAAGACTGACAAAATGCTGCTTTGGACAAAAGGAGGACACTAGATGACACAAGATTCTGGTTATTAAACCTAGATGAAATCCAGTGCTTGCTTTTAATATAATAGTAAGGCAAGTTACTCATGCAGGGCCAGGTTCTCGGAACAGTTTTGATCTGTCCTGTAGCAATGTGCTAAAACAGGCAACTACCGCTATGTGCATGGTCACACATACGTGCACAGTGCCAAATCTGGAAGCAATGTGAAAACGTCATAAGGATGTCACTGAAACATCACTAAATTGGGGGGTGGGGCAGGGTGTTTGCAGGCTTTTTCAATGGGCTTTCTGATTTCACACAAGTGCAATGACCCAAAACACAACCCCCGTGCAAAGAGGGAGTTGCCAATATTTTTTAAAAAGAATATTATTTCACATAGAGTGGCTGGGGAAATCCAGCCAGATGGGTGGGGAATTATTATTATTATTATTATTATTATATAGCTATAATTTGGCCTTGAAGACAAAGAGGTTTATAAGGAAATGTTCACTCCATTTGTGAAATGAGCACCTCATAGATGAAATGAAGTGCTCTGTGCTTGCTGTTCTGACGGTGACAGAACAGGCTATGGCCAAACACATACAGTAAGGTAAAAGGCCTCAGTCCAGAATTAGCATTCACACAACCACAGCTCAGTAGTGTGGAGCTGGAATGGTAAGGCGGTTCTACCAGACAAGCACATTCGGAACACAGGCAGCGCACGTGAATGTGTCCAGATTGCAATGCCTTGACGACAAAAATTAATTAGCTGTAATTTGCTTCAAAACCCAGAAGAGGAGTTGATGCTCAGAAACACCCCAAACACCTGACCAACAGAGAACACAGAGTACGTAGGTTGGGGAACTTGTTTATAAAAGGTCTACGACAAAGTACAGAAAGTTAATGACCTTGCAGCTAATTTTAACAACATTTGTGCAATTTGGCACAGTGATGTCTTCACCCTATGCGCATTACCTGGTTTATTTACTGGCACCCACAGCCCAGCAAAACTCCTATTCAATGAAGTTGTCATCTGCACATGCACAACAGAGATCTCAGATCTACACATCTCTGCTTAACTGCAACTTACATTTACAAATCAGATGGAAGCTGGTTTGAGAGATAATGCATCAAACAGCAGTATCTCCCAGGAAACTACAAGATGCATACGAATTGCAGCTAACATCGTATGTACAGTTTCAAATATCAGCAGCGGGAGGGCACTGGAGCCGAAGTAAATGGGAATGTGTACACAGTCTCAGAAAAGAGTTTTATCCCAGTCCATAAGTGTACTGCATTTATACATGCAATTTCTAAAACTATGTGTGCTCTATACAGTGTTGTTGTTGTTGTTTAGTCGTTTAGTCGTGTCCGACTCTTTGTGACCCCATGGACCAGAGCACACCAGGCACCTCTGCTCTATACAGTATATACATCCAATTGTTTTATAAGTGTTTTTTCTGTAATGTGAAATCGTTTTGAGATGGCTCATAGGAAACTATTCATAAATAAATAAATAATGTCTAATCACCAAATTGGCACAGTTACTATCAAGTTTAATTTGCAAGATAACCAGAAGTTGAAATCAGGTTTTAATTCTGGTTTCAGCCATAGGTTTGAGGGGAGTCTAAGGTTAGAGGTACCTATTGCAATGCTGGTTCAGATGCAATGTGAAACAACAGTTTCAGGGAAAAGAAGAGGGAATAATAAGGGAGGGGTGTGTAAGAGAATGGGATGCTCCCAATTGCCTGACTGGCTTGGCAACTGGGCAATGCACTGTCTGAACTGGACCAGTGTAATTACTCGTATAAAACTGCAAAGCAGTGTACCCAACAGCTAGAGATACTGGAAACAATTGAGAAACCTGGCTGTCTACAGTTCCCTCTGGGCCCAAACACAGACTAAGAGACACTGTTACTTACCAAGCAGCATTGCATCAACAAATCTAATTTTGACCTGGCTGCTCAACAGCTGTCGTCATCCTCCTGAAACGCCACATATGAAACCTTAGATTGCCAGGGAATGATCTTTAACAGGCACAAACACAAGCTACGTAGTGAGCTGTGACTTGTGTTCTACAGGAACTGGACACATAGCTATTATTTGCATACATCCCCTTTTACTCAAGTTGGAGATGAGCTGTTTAATCATTAAGATTCCTTTCCCACACAAGGCATCTGGCAACTTTCCAAGAACTAAAACTAAATATATTTTGCTCCTTCTTCAGACTATTCTGTATAGCTACAATCACAGTGAGAACTAACGGCAAGGTTATTGGAAACTCCCACTTATAGCTAGTATTGTCTTCAGCCTTCTGTTGCAAAAAACGCAAGTGCATACCCTGAAAATGCAATCTAGTGTAGCATTAATATTTCTGCAGAAAGGTCAGGTTTCTAGAAAAAGCAGGCACTGATCCTTGGAGGAGCACAATGACCCTCAGACTCATAAACAAGAGAAAGGACGTTTGAAAATCTACAAATATGTAAACACAAAGAACTTGGTTATTGCTAAACTTTCTCTTTGGGAGAAGTAGATTGGGGCAAAATTTAGTGGGACAACTGTTTGTTTGTTTGTTTGTTTGTTTTTTACATGGAAAGCCCAACAAATTCATATGGAAAGTCAAATAAATGTTAGCTATGAAGGATGAGTTGGTGTGGAGCACAACCCTGTCTTCTTGAAAATAAATACACTCATTTTCTATGACCAACAATGCTCTTGTGGCTCCCAATTCATGGGGGAAATAAACATAATTCAAAACCCAATTTTCCAGGTAAGCACTCAAATAGGTTCAGAAGGAGGGCCAGTAAGAACTTTCAGGACTAAGGAATGGTTGCAAGTGTGGCACCTGTGAACAGAGCGAGAGTAGATAATGAACTTACTCCTTAATTTTTTTTTTATGTGAGATGATGGGATAAGAATGAAATGTAGATGTTGACTGTTTTAATCTCTTATACTGTTAACTGTAA